GGTTGGAGGGTTCTGGATTCAATGAATATTGACGCCTATACTATCCCTTCTACCTACCTACTTGACTGTGACTGACCTTCTACTCACTCCGGGACATACCTCCATGACATGACTACATAACAGACCCTACACGACTGTCCTCCATGACTGTAACGGCTCTTCACCTACTTGGGATGGATTTGGTCAGCTAATTAGCCCAACCGCTATGTAACACGAGGAGGAAAAGATGCCGGAGACCTGCATAGGTCACTACACTACGGTAATTCCAGGGAAACATGCTAAATAGATACCTAAAGCCTTTATGAATCCACTTGAATATGTGTATGTACATATACGCTGTGTATATATAGTAATCCAATGGTTATAAGATAGGCAGCTATATATCGGCCCGTGCTTTGTCTAGAGAGTAAGGTTAAAGGTGGTAAATTAAGCACGTATATATAATCACTTTTATGAGCTGCATAAGCCCCTATATCATCTTGTATAAAAGAGGAATTCTGGATTTTCTCACAATGAATAGATTTTAACGTAATTGAATTTCGTGACGCGTTCCCAATGCAGGGTCCCGTATGCATAGAACAGTCACTTGCCGCCCCTCCTAAAGATTTCTCCAAGTCTTCCGTATTTCCTTGCTGTGCGATTTGGATGAACGATGAACGGCTGAACATAGCTCATTTCCGGCTGTGGAGCTGCAAGATGAATGAAAGTAGAGAAAATGAGCTTGCCGTCAGCGTCTATCGCTCCCGTTTTTTCATCTGCGTAGATGCCCAAGCTTACGGGGAAGAGATGGGCGTCCTCGTCGTCATCTGGTCTTTGACAAAGAGCACGAATAGCCGCGCTGTTCCCCGCCATGAGAGGAAGGTCGCGTGGCGCGTTTGGGTATCTCCTGATGGCGGAGTTGACAAAAAGTGCCAAAATGATCAGGCCCCCTATGGTTAGCGTGGATACGATGCCAAAGGCGGAATATCCGACGAGGGAAGAGTCATGCTCAGAAACCCGAATGTTTTCCGCGCCAGGACTGAAGCCGATTGAATGAATGACAAAAACACTCCGAGAAACCAGCCAGTGAAGGAGAGTGAAGGCAATTATCATAGGCACGGAGTACTTGAAGGGAATTGATAATGTATAATTGGATCGCTGACAGCCAATGGGTGTCGACACACGCAGCGTCTTCTTGTGTATATCGTGACCTTTCGTGTCTGTCCGCAAGTAGCCCAGCAGCTCATTGGCAAGAACCTGTTTCGTCAAGATTGCATTGTAAAAGATGTAAGCGAAGCTGACGAGGACCTGCCAGATGTTCGCGAAGAGAACGTTTCCAATGAGTATAGAACCTTGTTCACGGCCGTGTCTCCCGACCAGATCAAGGAGTAGCAATTGTTGAACCCCAAAGCCCTGCTGCCATAAACCTGTCGGGCTCACGTCAACATCGGCGCTAATCAAATATCGTATAGCGATCGCAAGTAGAATAGACGGTACTCCAAGGGCGAAAACGAAGCTACAATAGGCCGGGTGAGTTAGCTTAGCTTAATCTTCGGCCCCTTTACTGAAAATCGGCTGCGAAATTACTCACACACAGAGCGAGATATTCCATGTCCGACTGTCCACCGCTACAAACCATGACAAGCGAGATTTACGTGGCCACAAAATTGGTTTTGAATCAATATCATGACGGTGTCGAGATCGCTGGTTCATGGGGTGTGTTCTGTTCCTGGGCAGCATAGAGTCTGGTGTCTCTAAATTACTAGCGATGGCATCGCCGATTGTTACCATGGGGGCTTGGTAACCGCGTGAGGCTCTAGAACGAAGTTGGAGTCCAGCCCACCCGACCGCCACCACTTCCAAGATTGTAGCTATGCATACGAAGAGCAACAGAGGCGCACTGTAATGGACGCCACATCTTTCTTCATTATTTCCCGACTGTCCGACCAGGCAGTGGCTCACCTGAAAGAGAGGTGCGACGTTTCCGAACGAGCAAACCTGCCAGTCATCGCTGAAGGTTTTGGCCCAATCCAGAGAACAATCTCTCGTCCAGTCCGATTCGTTCAGATATGCACAGCATATCCACCTAGATGAGAGTCTCCAATTGTCATTGTAGCTGCTCGCGAGCCAACTGTCGAGGAGCGATGATCCCTCGTTCTCAGCTGCCGAAGAATTAGAGGTTACTACTATGAGGCTGCTCGTTGCTTCTCGAGAGTTGATATATTGCTCGATGCACGATGAAGTATTCAACCGCGTGAAGTTAGCCGCAGATTCTTGGAGAGGCCAAATAGAGCTAAAGTCGTGGGAATTGGTTGGGTGCGGATAAGACTCCGCCCATATATCGCCGAACTGTTTGAAATCACTGGTGACAGTTGCCCGGGGATATGCTACAATTGGGATGGAAGAAAACACGACCGAGTTCCAACTGGCGAGTTATAAGTACATGAGACTTGCGGTTCCATATGATGAACACTTACACGAGATGCAAGAGTGTTGCTAAGACACCTAGTAAGATCCAAGCAATGACTCGCTTTCGCTCCGCGTTCTTCAAATTCCAGATGCTAGGCAACCCAATGTCCATTGTTTGGCCCTGATGGTGCGCTCTGTCAACCTCCTCGCGTGAGGGGGAACTTAGAAGTTGCATGCAGTAATTACCCGCTCCAAGCAAGAGGGTCGAGAGTATGTTGATGGCAGCATGTACGGCGCTGTTCGTCCAATCCGCCCTAGAGCAGTTACCAAGCATAAATGTGCCGATATCTCGCTCATCGGTAGGGTAAGTTTTGAGCACATATACAAAGAAGGTGATATTGAATATGGCAACAGTGATCGCTAGTATGAACTGGATACTCAACATAATGGATCTTTTCGACATGCGTACTCTTAGCGTCTGAGCTTTCGTATGACTTGGGTCGAGCTCTGGAATGTATCGCTTGAGTAGGTCGACGTTTGCGAATAGATATGACCTTCTTCTCAGCTCAGCATGTAACACTAAACAGTCTTCTTAGCTTGAAGAGATTAGACCTTTTGATGGAGGTTGAATTATCCATTAGAAGAGTTTGCGTCTCTGGGGAACTGGCTTCATTGGCTGCCAAGTCTTCATGGTGTATTCGAGATCTTGTAGGGAATACAACAACACGCTCCTCAAAGTGTTGCTCTTCGGCCATGTTGTTGCTGTGTTGCATTGTGATCTTTTGAATGTCGAATCTAGTTGAGACACTCAAGTCGTGCCGCTAAATCAAAAGATGGGGCGAACAAACGACAGTCTTCTTCATGTCAACAACTAAGATATCATATCCGGTTGATATTAAGCAAGTCGAGAGGCCTACAACATGTGGTCATAACACTAATACGGAAATAACGTCGATGAGAAAGGAGCCGGTCTAACCTAAATAGTCGGAGAAGATATTGACTGCACGGAGAACTAGTGAATTAGAAGTGATCTGTAGGCTTACTTAGATAATTACCCCTTTCAGCATTCATGAGGCTATAATGCACCTCAGTAAGCGCCGACCCTACCTCGCAATTCACACGGGACCGAAAAGTACCTCCGTGGCCTACATAGCCGCTCAAAATCGGCGAGTAGAATGTTAATTCTAATACCCACAGCGTTTACTGTCAATGTCCCATTCGTTTGGCAACAAGCCCGCTTTGTTATGAAACAAGCCAGGCCCGCCAGACTCGTGATCTGACCATGTGCTGTCTGAAGTGCTTACTTACATCTCACGTAAATAACGATTACGGTAGTCATTGTCGAGCCATGATCTCAATTCTTCACCATTTCTTCACTTATAAAGGCCTGGCAGTTGGATTGAACCCGTGTATTGGGGAGGAGGGCATGGCCTTGAAGGCCTGGCATGCGCGTGCGCTTGGTCGAGGCAGGCTGCCAGCGCCGCGCTGCGCTGGCGCGCCTCTATTGAGCCAGCTACGCTTATGCTAGGTCTTCAAAGCCGCCCATACCTATGCCCCCAACATTATTCTTTGCCTCAAAGTCATGTTGCTTGAATTGAGACCTAATATCTGTAAAACTTGTGCCTACGTAGTCAAAATCCGAAATATAGCATGACATTGGAGCCTCTACGTACCCTTGACTATAATTCAATAACTTTTCCAATGTCACAATCATCAGCTATTAGATATCTAAAAGTGAAGTTATATGCTTTAATGGAGGTGATTGAGGTTGTCTATGCATAGTAAGTGAATTGTACTGAGCAGTGAGAGGTGCTCTCGAATCCAAGACCAGCCATGAGGGGGGATGACAGCTCATTGCGTGTCGCCAATTTCCAGCGCATTTCGACACCAATTGGTTGGTCTCTCTGTTTGGTTGCAGCGTTGGAGCTGTATGCCCAGTCAAGCACACAATGCAGATTGCTATAAGCACGTTCTGCTCGAGACAATGTGTCCATACTACTACAGCCCCTCATGTCGACTGCTCAGGAATCGCCCTGCTGTGTGGTCGCTGCATGAGATAGGTATGCAAAGCGTATTCTAGGCTGATAGCCTCCCATGTCAGAACAGCACGAATTCAATATTTCTTACTTAATAGATCGATGAAGACCTAGTGAACAGTCGAAAAGACAGCCAATTGATCACTGCTATAATCCTTCTATCTAGAATGAGCTTTCGTTTCTCCCCTGCTCTGCGGGCTAGATTCCAATCCCCTACCCTCGATGTAAGATCGACGGTTCCGTACCCATTACCAAAGAGACGAACCACATCTTTATCGAACTGGACAAGCTGCAACCGGAAGTCGAAGCCTTCTTCCAGGAATCTAACGCAGTTGGCGAGTGGTCTAATTGGCGGCTACCCTTTCCATTTTGGCACACTTACACCGTATCTTCGCCTATCTTCAAATTTCCGTATGACAACATACGGTTTAGTTCCCTTATTAGCATGTCGTGAAAGCAAACCCTCCTTCTTCTCCTCCTTCCAAGGTAACCATACATCGAATTTCTTCAAGCCCGTCATTCTGGAGGGGATGTCCATCAGCTCCCCTTCACGCGTCCTGAACTCGTGCCGTCTGTCGCCCGAGGCCCAGACAACCACGATGAGTCTCCGTAGTTGCTTCATCTGTGCTAGTGCTTTGAACACAGCATTCCAACTAGACAAGGGGGATGGGGCTACGATATGAAGTGAGAGGTCCCAAGCCTGCGGGTGGGTGTCGTAATATTGCGAGTAGCCCCCGCTTAAATGAAATCCAACCTCGAGGCTGGTCATGGCAGCAACGCACTGGGGCAGCAGCAGCTTGTCGGCTTGCGCGAAGAATTCGTTGCTGCTGCCATGTGATCCGAACCCGAATCCAAACGTATTCTCGGAATACAGCAAGTTGATAGACTCCAAGTATCTGTCCAACCCAGGAGACATATGGCCATTAGCAGCTGAGACCTTGTATGGAAGGCGTAGCAAGAGCATATAAGTAGAGTTAGCATAACGCTTTTTTCTATACTTACGATTTCCGACATATCAATGGTACACTCAAAAGTCCGTTCACATGCCGCCAATATGGGCGGCCCATGTTCTCCTGCTGGACTAGTTTCCCCTTCTTTACGCAGAGATATACCTTCCGTCCACCGATGGCGTACCGCCATATCTGAGTTCTAACCTCGGCGGGTAAGCAAAAAAGGTCACTGTCTGCCTGAATATCCGGGAGCATGTGGTTCGTCGGTGTACGGGGTGCTCTCTCAGGCGAGGATGCCGATAATGACGTCCCAGAGTTGGTGGCTGGGGGAGGTGTCGACAGAAGCCGGTGTAGCTCCTCTATCTCACGAGGCGTCAAAGGTGCATTGACCTTTCCAGAGGCATCCAGGAGAGCGCGGGCTTCCGCCGTAGATAATGCATTCTTCTCGCATTTTTGGCGTAGATCTGTCAGGGTCTTGAGGTCCTCACCTGATACTCCTTCAGGAAAGCTCGGCGTCTTCGGCAGCGTTGATTGGCCGGTAGTGATAGAGTTGGATTCTTTGCTGCGAGATTTACGTTGAAAAAAACGGCAACATAGGTAGTCCATAACAATGTTCTGGCGTGTGAAGAGAACGCTCTTGTGGGATGGCACCGGATTGAGGTACCTTTCTACGAATCAGACCCGACACGCGAGAGGGGACTTGGACGAGTCTTAAGCATCGTCTTCGTGTGCAGGACCGGAGAGTCGATTGCTTGGCCAGGCCTCCAGCTGAACCGAGCAGAACATGCGGGCTTGCAGCTAACAGGTGTACGGCCACGCTTGATGGCGTTTTTGGCTGGCAGCTGGATCCACTACGGCCTCCCTACTTATCTAGGTGCTAACAATCTTACCTACCTGGTACTTAGCTATAGTATCACGGCGTTAGCTGTGGGTGGAAGTCTTGCAGGCACCTCCAAGATCCATCTACATAGTACAGACACGTGGGCAAACTGAGTATGGTAGTTATAGGCGAGAGTCGCAGTCTGGTCGCAGCAACGTGGAGCGAGATTGGGAGTCGACGGTGTACTTCCTCCGCGAAGCCGAAAAGCTCGAGAAGCAATCATCGAAGTTCACGCTCCCTCACACACCAGAATCCGGGCTCCCCTGTCCCTGCTGGCTCGAGGCATCGTCACCAGACCAGACCATCGCAATTGAATTTCAGCCTTTCTGGTTGGGCCAAGGAGGAATGAACGATAAGGAAATCGATCTCGCTCCTCCACAGCTCTATCTAGTGCTTATTGTGTTCGTTGAGGCTTGCCCCATCTTGTGCCGTCCCGCCAGGCTGAGCTTTACTACATAGATAGGTACCTACCTAGGTACCTAGTTCAATAACTGCCAAGCCTCATTAATCTTCCCCAGGGACTCACTCGGGGTACCTACTACAGTACCTAGGTAGGTAGGTAGGTACCTACGATAGCGTTAATATCCGGCGTAACCGCCGCACACAGAGGGGCCTCGGTGTGCACTACAGTACCTAGTACCTACCTAAGCTTAAACAACGGGAGTGCAGCTTGCATGCTGGTAAAATTAAAACATCCCAAGCTGTGTATCAAGTTCGTCTGCTCACTCACCCCATTCCGCCCCAAGCGTAGGCACGTAAGAGACCTCGAGCGGTGCCATGTCATGGAGACCGGTGGGCGTACCTGAAAGATGGCTTTCCCTGACAGGCCCATAGCCCATCTATTAGGCTCGAGTGGTAACGAATCCCTTCCCTCTCAGCTCCATATCCAACTCCATATCCCTCCCGGGACGGAGTACGCATGTGCATTAACAATCCAGTTGATATACTGATACCTACCCGCAGGCCCCGTCCACGCGCTTGCATATTCAGCATCGCCGGGGACATATGTATTAGCGGGGTCATCCGACCGCTCTATCCGGCTCTACAACCCGCAGCCCACCAGCCAACCATCTTCTTCATCCCATCTCTCCTCTAAGAAGGGCACCAATCCCCTGGTCATCCCCCAGGGCCGGTTGATCCAGACCTATTCGGCCCATGGCTACGAGGTTCTCTCCCTGAGCGTGTCGGGTGACAACGCGCGCTTTGCCTCGGCGGGCGGCGACCGCGCCGTCTTTCTCTGGGACGTGGCAAGCGCACAGACCCTCCGTCGTTTCGGGGGAGGGGGTGCCCACGGCCACAGCGCGCGCGTTAACAGCGTCTGCTTCGCGGGCGATGATGACTCCCTTCTCGTCAGCGGTGGTCTCGACACCAGCGTACGTATCTGGGACGTGCGTAGCGGCGCCCCGAAGCCAGTACAGGTGCTCGCCGAGGCCAAGGACGCCGTTACCACTGTGGCGGCGCACGGCCCTGAGATCGTCGCGGGCAGCGTCGACGGCCGTGTACGTACTTACGATGTACGTGTCGGACGTTGCGTCACTGACGTCGTGGGCCCGAGCGTGACTAGCTTGTGCCTCACGAGGGATGGGAAGGCAATGTTGGTTAGTGCACTGGACAGCAAGTTGCGGCTGATGGACCGCGAGACGGGTGGCTGTCTTAAGACATATTCAGATGCCGGGTGGCGAAACCAAGATCTTCGCGTGCAGTCGATTCTAGGTGGCAAGGAACAATATGCTCTTGTTGGCGATGAGATGACGGGGGCGCCGAGCCAGGATGCTGAGGGCAGGATCTGGGCTTGGGATGTGGTAACGGGAGACCTCAAGGCTGTGATACGCGTTCCCTGGGGTCCGGCAGGAATGGAGCTGAAGAAAGTCGTGGGCAAAGACGGCAAGGAGAAAGAACGCACCAACGTGATCAGCTGTCTCGCTTGGAGAGAGGGCGGCTTTGGGGACCAGTTCTGCGCTAGTGGAACATCTGGCGTTGTTACCATCTTTGGCTACGATTAATAAAATTACGCATAATATAAGATCTTATGTAGACTGAACATGGGCACCGGGGAACAGCTGAAAATTTCCATGGCTTATTGAATAATTTATATGACGTAGCGTAAACATTCGTGAGGCAGATATGTACAGGGAATTAATGTTAACATCAACATGAACGCCCCTTTCTATGCGCCAAAAACATCCCAGTATCAAGCCCGCATATAATATGCACCACACGCCTACCCAGGTCTTGGTGTGCTGCTACCTGATCATTGGACGTATCCTCCCACCCCAAGTTAATACCCAAATTTTTAATTCATGTGCGCGTATTTGAACCAGTTCGGCCGGCAGTCTTCCTTATTCAACCACTTCTCGCCGTCTGTTAGCCGCCCAGTCTCACAGCCTCTACACTTAGGCGAGTTGGGGCAGTTGAAGAACGGAATATGTTGATAACCGATATCTCGGAACCTGTATTGTTTGATGAGTATTTCCTGACAACGAACAATCTGTTGCCTGACTCACCAATGGATCTTGTTCTTGTCCTCGAATAAACCTAGTGCGATACTATGTACCGGCGCATCGCCCCAGCGCTCATAGAAGAACCCTCCAGCTCGATCTAGATGGTTAAAGTAGTCTTCATAGACTTGGCTCCGCCAGAAATTCATGTCTGCAATTTCAAAATTCGTCCAGAAATGGCAAGTAGAGTAGCCGTTTGCCAACTCGTTGTGAACCGGTCGGCGCGTTCTATCGGTCAACCAACCCTCTGCACGGTTTTCGTGGAGATACTCGGGGTGCTCATTGATAAATTTCACTGTCTCTGGCCAGAGAGACGGGATCGATTGTGGCGCATCATATAGAGTAATGGTAAATCCATACGTCTTGTTGTGGTCTTGCATGTAACGGAAGACATCGTAGTCAACGTCACAGAAGAAGTGCACTTTGGGCTCAACTCGCCAGTAGTACTGTATGTCGGCAAGTGCAGGGTGTTTGTAGAACATGCCGCTATTCCATCGGCACATTTGATGGTATGAGAGCATGCCTGCGTATTGGATGTCATTCTCCTCGAGGATCTTGACGGATTCGGCAAAGATGTCATCATTGATCCATGACGGCTTCTGCCAATGCTCCTTGGGAATAACCTCTATCAAACAACATCAGTATTCGGCGCCTATTGGGGAATGATGCACCAGCGTACCATATCTACATTCGGCTTTGGTTGCGGCGCGTGTCTTGCGTTTGAATTCTTCGGTAAAGGGGACATCGTTGAAAAAGGTCCAAGGGTAGTTGAATTTGTGGTTCCATGTACGTTCCAGATCCTCCATCGATTGCAACATGCCCGAGAGCTCTTCATTACGGACCAGCGCTAGGAGGGTTGCGGGGATTCGAGCGGTACCGGCTTTGCCTGGCGCATAGGCATCGGAGGTGCGTACTAGGTTGCCTAGAGGCTCTCCCGTAGCTTTCGGCTGGTTAGTTCAAGAGGATACACGGACGAGTTCGGATTGCTCACGATCTAAATTAGGATCCCTCTCGATTGTGCCGTGGAAGTCAGCCTTTGTCTTGAGGCTCGCGCGGTCATGAACACCGTTGCTGGGCTGAAATATGTTGTAGAAGCAAAAGAGGAGGATAAAAACAACGGCAAGCGCCAGAGCGCGAACTGGCCTCGCTATAGCCATGGTGATGCGACACCTATGATCTGACGCACATGAATTCGACGAATTTTGTAGCTTTCAGGGTGAGAATGACGAAACAAATTATCAGAAGATTAGATAACTAGGTAGGTAGATACTGTAGTGTGCGGCAGCAGGGGTACCAGCAAAACTCTATATCCAAGAAGAGAAAAAACAGCATACACCGATGGCGACCGATAAATGCAAGATTAATGTACCGCGTCACTAAGAATGCGACAGACCATGTAACAAAGCCTTTGACTTGAGCTTTTGAAGGTTGACGAGCACTTGGCGATCTATAGATGGTGGTACTTGGATTATCTGCCAAGGGCATCAGACCGATATTGGTCGAACCCAGAAAAGGGGATGAATGATACAGTGCATGTACCTATCGCTACCTATCTAGGTACCTAGTGGTTATGCATACTACATAGGTACAGTATGTACCTACCTACTGCGATAGCAGAATCGATAGGCACCTATCTACCTAGGTAGGTACCTTAGGCAGGTAGTTACCGCTGAATTTTGTGTTTACAATGCAACCTTGAGTGCATACCCGCACTGGGGCTGCATTCCCATACAGTAACATTAGATTTTGAACACTGTATCTAGGTCAACATGATCAGTAGAGGCTAGGATACACTCACTACCTACGCGTAATGCTGGTCGTCAATTATACCTGCACGCGTCCTAAACCGCAGCTAGGTATAAATTGTTGGATTTCAACTCACTCATTAAGATACCACAGATAAAATATCTTTTCTCATGTCATCCCAGCCTAGAGTAAGGCAGGCAAAGTAAAATGGCTTTTGCCGCCAGGCTGAGTAGCTTGACGGACGAAGTAGTTGAACTTATCACCTCTACAACCGCCGAGGTGAGCTATCTGTTCTCACCCTTTCTTAACTCATCACCAGACGATTGATAAATAACCCCCAGGTTGATCGTCGACGCTTCGACGCATTCAGGGAATCCAGTTTGCGGCAGCTTCGTCAACACAGCTTTCTCCGGACCAACCACTTCGAAGTGTATTCCGCTCTTGACGGATATGAAGAAAGGTTCCGCATCCTTAATCGTGATCAGACAGCCGATGCCCTAAGGGACCGATTAGACGCTCTTGCGCGGTGCTCCAACAAATGGGCTCCTGACTCACTGGATTTACTGCTAAGACTGGCGGATCAGCCTGTTCAAAAATCAAACCTTCTTGACCTTGAACTACTAAAAGAACCCGAAGTCCACCCTGAACCCGCGCTGAAATGGAGAGATATTGCCAAGGAAGACGGCTGGAAAGAAGACCACGAACTTTGGCGGAATGTCAACTTTGGTGGTGATAGCTCTGATGAAGAGTACGATCATGAATCTGATGCATCAGCCCAGTCGGAAGATACTTCATTATCTAGCGGCGAGGCCCGTTATCGTAAACAGCCTACAGATTATCTAGAGAGGCCGCAGGTCCAGTTTGATATCCATGAGATTCGCACAAGTCAAGCTTGGAGAACGGACACATCACGTACAAACCCCGGTGCTTCGTCTCACAAGATCGACATAACACAAATACAATGTATTCGAGAAATACTCTTTATGTTGAGTGGTCTTGAGAATGGCTTATTCGATAGTCAAGGACAACCTTCACTTGGTATACAACTTTCTCACTCCTCTTGGCAAATCTTCAGATCACTCCTAGTCCCTATGAGTGACGCACGGCGGAGATTGTCGCTCTTGCGCAAGTATGCCAGGCAACAACAGCAGATCCCCCTCTTACAGGCGTTTCAGGCCGCCATTGAGAGCCGTCTAAGGGCCTTTGACAGTACGATAGCCAGTATGCAAGCATATTATGTTAGTACCAACCAGGATTTTGTTGCCAGCGTCCTCAAGCTTCTAGATGACCTTAACCCTCATATACGTCCTTTGGAATCACTTGCAGAAACAGTAGAAAGACTAGAGCAGGCCAGGAATTCTTACCCATTCCACTGTCTTGAATTGCTGTATGACTCCGCCCAGGAATTGCAGCTCAATGGGAATGATAAGGTTTATCGCTTTATTGGTCAACTCTTCTTCGAGTGTTTTGCGGTATATCTTCGACCAATCCGTTGCTGGATGGAAGAAGGCGAGCTTATGAATAGCGATGAGACTTTCTTTATTTGCCGTTCACTAGGCGATGTCTCAAGGTCTCAAATTTGGGCTGACCAGTTCAAGCTCAAAAGAACACTTGAAGGGTCATTATTTGCACCACGGTTTCTACAACCGGCAGCGTCCAAGATATTCACAACTGGGAAGAGTATCGTGATCCTCAAACTACTAGGAAAGTGTTGGCCAACACAACAAAGGACACTAGAATCCGCTATACAAGTAGACATGAGCGCAATATCCATTATGATGCCTTTTTCAGAAGCCTTCGAACAGATGTTTGAAGAGTGGATGCAAAGTAAACATCATGCAGCTTCCGCGACCCTTAGGCAGACATTATTCCAGACTTACAATTTATGGTCAGATTTGACTATACTCCAACATATTTACTTGATGTCTGATGGGTCTCGCTCTGAACACTTTGCTAATGCTGTGTTCAATAACATTGACATTCTTAATGTTAATTGGCACGACCGTTTCAATCTTACCGAGATTGCACGCGAAGCTTTTGATCGCCTTGTCGAACCCCATCGCCTCAATGTTACTGCGCTACAAAATAATTCCAGCTTAGACGTCAAGAGCATTCGGCGGACAGTTCGAGAAGGGCTCCCATGCATCTGTATTACATATAGGCTTCCTTGGCTATCGCGTATTGTGTTGAGTGATGAGAGTCTAGAGCAGTATCAACGCGTTTTCACGTTACTTCTCCAACTGCGAAGAGCTAGCTACGTGCTGACCAGGCACCGTATCCTCTCGGAAGGCATCGTCTCTACCACGGTCGAACAAGAAACTTTCTATAGTCTTCGTTCAAAGCTTCTCTGGTTCTGCAATACTCTCCAATCTTACCTCAGCACACTAGTGATTGGCCCTCTCGTTGTTAAGCTTTCAGGAGAAATGAAGAAGGCAGAGGGTATTGACCAGATGCTTACTTTACACTCCACATTTACTAAGAGAATTGTGGATGAGGCTTGCCTCGGAGGGAAGCTTGATCCTATTCGCCAAGCTATTCTAGACATCTTTGACCTTGCAGTTAGGCTACGAAACGCTCATCAAGTCGAGCAAGAGAAAGGACCTAAAGAAAACGAATTGTCTAGGTCACTGATTATGTCATCATCAGAGAAGGGTAGTGCTAAAAGATACGTCCAGGCCAGCGAGGAAGAAGATGACACATTCCTAATCGAGCAAGATACGAGCGGCATGATGCAAGGTGCAGAGATCCCCTATGGTCAGGTGCTGGGCGAAATCCGGTCGGATCTCGATCGGCACATAAAGTTTGTATGTGGTGGCCTAAGGGGCGTTGCAAGAGCTAGTAGCAGCGACGCTGCGAGCAAATGGGATATACTTGCAGAGATGCTCGAGCCAGGAATACGGGTGCTTCACTGATAGAAGGCAAGTGTTCGTTTGTACTAGGTTGTTTCTTCACGATTCGTGTTACCCATGTCATCGAGATTGGAGCGTCCCTACACTACATGTGTATGAACACCGTGGCAACGATCTAACTATGATATGGCCACATTATGTCATCTTCCTTTTCAGGCGATGTCATTCCTTGTCAGATCTAGTTCTGTCCTCCTAAAACTGCAATGCCGTAATGGGGATGCTATGGGAAACTTATGATCCACTTGATTATAACCCTGCCGGTGCTTTATCCCTTCGATAGATATGTGAGATAGTCAAGCTTAAGAACGTCATCGTAGAGCTTAAGTGGCAGCGGTCGTGGGCATAGGTCCCCGTTGCTTTCTTTGTACCGGTAGCTCACATTGACGTAGATTGTTGCCATCGCCAAAGATACAAAGTAGGGACGTACCTTGGTATTGTCTTGGCATGCATCATTAGTGGCGTAAAGCCTAAGCCATGTCAGCCGCAATGCGGCTTGACCCCTGGCGCTACAATGAGGCTGAAAACCTTCCACGTGACATTTCAAGCCACAAGCTCAATTGTCCTAGTCCTCCCCAGTACCTAGGTAGCCTAGAGAAGGCATCTCACGATACCTGTATCAAGCCTCGCCTCATCTCATAACATCACTGTCGCTCAGCCGCACATACAACCCATCTACCTCCCTCCACATCAACCCTTTTCCTTGCAGAAACTTGTAGCTGCATACCGTCGACTCACTTGAAATATCGCTCCTTCGCATATTTGCCCATTCAACATACGTTAGGTAGAACATAAACTCAGGGCAATGTCTGAACGCAAAGTATTGTCCGTAACTTCCTTTTTATCCGTTTATTGTCTTTATACTAACAAGAGCACAGAACGAAATACTATCCTCCGGACTGTGAGTTCTCCTTAAAGTTCCGAGCTTAACGACTCAGGTTTCTCGGGCGAAATCTCTGGTTCAAGCTCAACTCCTATTTGGAGACTAAAATGGGATGGTTTTGGAATGAAAAGTACTGACTGATTTATCTCAGTCGATCCCAGCGCGATCCAGCGGTGAGTATTCCTCATAATATGACTTCATAACAAGAGGAGATATCGCACCCCTCTTGAGCTCCCCGCCCACGTTACTAAATCAATATTACAGTGTTCGCAAACCGAAGTCCACTGGCCCGAAGGTCCAGACTGTCAGATTAATGGCACCATTGTAAGTTTGCGACTCCTACTCATTGGGCCTACTTGCTAACTTGCAGTGACAGCTCTATGAAGTGCCTACAATGCGGTGAATGTTAGTTTCACGATAATCAATTGTTTTTTACTAGCCCCCTTACCTCTAACATACATTTAGATATCTACAGAGGGCGCAAGTTTAAGTGAGTTCATTCGACAAGCGCTTTTTCACAAAATAACACACAACTTGAAAGTTACTAACTATGTCTGGAGCGCCCGGAAGGAAACCCCGCTCGACGAGAATTATTTAGGCATACAAATCTTCCGTTTCTATATCAAGGTACGTAACGCCATAAATGTCCCGGTTTCTATACTTCATTTCACTAACATTATATTAGTGTACACGGTGTTCAGGAGTAAGTAGGCGGCTCTTGGCCTTCTCACATAAGCTAACGTTAGGTGCTAGGAAATCTGCTTCAAAACCGACCCACGTAACAATGATTACGCCTGTGAGAGAGGTGCCAAGAGAAGCACGGAACCATGGCGCGTGGGGCGAGAGGAGACAGATGAGGAACGGCTTGACCGACTAGAGAAAGAAGAAGAGGAGCGCGACGCCATGGTGGAACTCGAGGCGAAGACAGTCGACGCGAAGCGCGAGATGGCCGTCGCCGACGCTCTAGACGAGATCCGAACCCGTAACGCACGCCTCGAGCGTGCGGACCGAGACGGTGTCGAAGTCGGTGTTGTTAATATTGTCGATGAAGATATCGAACGTCAGGAGAGGGAAGACGTTGAAGCAGCGAGGCGTGCGTTTGAGAACGCGAGGCGGTTAGACAGCATGATTGAAGAAGAAGTTATTGATAACGACGACACTAGTAGCACAGCAACCGCCGCTTCAACTTCGGCTTCGTCCCCAGTAGTAGTCCCGGACACAGATGGAGATGCTTTGAAGTCTGACTCTGTCTCTGCTACTACTGCTGCTTCGGGACCTAGGAAAGCGGTATCAACGGATATGCCACCACCATCTTTCAAGCGTGTGGTCAAGAAAAAGAAGGACCATTCGGCACTCCTAGGGATTAAGAAGAAACCATCGCTAGTCTGATCATGTCTAATTAGTTGGCACGGCGTGTAATCAAGAGAGATCACGAAATGAATTTTAGGTTGAGCATAGCGGCTAGGCGCATTAGGCGTTATTTAGGTTGACAATCAGTCGATCATGGGCTTGTCGAAAATACAAATGGTTTTCTATCACGATGTTATACTCATCATTTGCTTGATATTGTGATTGCGTAGTCATTTATTACCAAGATGGCTTCAAACTGACACACAACCTACCAGGGTGGTTACCCCATAGCGTTCAGTATGGAGAGAGAAAAAGTTCTCACTGTTCCTAGGAACTAATTATAAACTTAGATGTTGGAACAATAGGTTGGCTACAATTGCGTACGCGAAGGACCTAGGGCGCGGGCCCCTTCAGGGTCCATATAGGGGCTGCTGCGCAGCCCACACCTTCATTCTTTCCTTCCTTTCCTCAGTCGTAGCGTATTAGATAGAGAATACGTATTGCCATTTGTTCCGTGCGAATATTCGTGTGCGGCTCGTTTCGACGTTAGACGATTATAGGGGGGTGTCGTATCGATGTGTAAACGGTGACACTTACCTGAAACGAGGACTATTCAGTAATACAATTATTCCTCCCTAGCGATGAATGGCACAGAAATCATATGTACTAACACAATTATACGTTGTCACGAAATATATTGGCAATGTTTGAATTAACGTGATAATCTTTCAAAGATTATATTGTCATGATCTCGTGAACCTAAGCTAGTAGGTCTAATGTTTTAGGTCACAAAAGCCTGTGTGGCTATGATTTCCCATTCCTCCAATGCTCGCTAGTATGTATGTGCGCCCGCGATGTTTTCCATGTCATGATGAGAGTCCGGTCATTTCCGAGATCCGGCATCTCGGAATTTTCGTGCTGTGTACGCTGTACTGGTGTTGCATGTCCAGTTTCCGAACGCCTTGCTTAAAATCAAAAAAATCAAACCCCAAATCATGTCGGCGTTATCGTAGTGCTTGAAGAGTCCCCCCACGGGACGATTCAAGTGCTTAGTTGTGGTATTCATGGGCACCGTTCATCATTCTTGTTGAGTTTGACGAGTTTGTGGACGTGCCATTAGGCATGGAGGGCACCGGTGAATCGTGGGAAGGTTGTCGTCGACGAGATGAAGACATGTTTGCGGCCTCCATCTGTCTCTTGGTGTGAGAGTGCATAGATCGGGAATAACTAGTCAAATCATGGGGCGGTGACATGTTGCTGGGCATAGAGATGGTGTATGTGCCTCGAGCCGACATTTTTGAGTATGAGAAGTATTGATGAAGTTGGTTTTTTTGAGATGACTACGTGTATTGTGTTAAATCAAGCAAGGTAGCGGACTTAGAGTAGTTGAGGCGGATTGAAGATTGGTTGTGGCCGTAAAAGCGTAGATGAGGAATGGCATTTTTAGTCAAGGTTGAATCTGGAATGATGATAATCATAAGAGAATAGATCAAAATGACCCGGGTGTCTGGACGTGTTTATATGCAGAGATTCAAGGTAGGACAATTAGGGTCTTCTGATGAACCGACACTACATAGTATGTTGCAGGGGTGGCTCTGACGAGACTCAACCCACCAAATGCCCACAATTTCTGATTGTCTATCGTTCTCCAATTCTCCGGGGTTTTTCTAGATCGACATTACGGAAAGCTGTTTCTGGATTCCTAGACGGGAGATGACCAGCGGCAATGAGGAGACTGTGGTGTAGGGTAGCGGATGCTAAGGCCAATCAGACTCGCCCACCGAGTAGGGGACTGCTGGTTACGTTGCCACACACAGAGAATGATGCATTCTTTCCTGCGGCCTTTGACCCGCAGAGCCGGCGATACTCGAGCTCTGGTTGGGTCTAGATCAGCTAGCCTGGCCTCTGACCGCATTCTGCGCTCCGTTTCTGGGCCTCATCACCAATCATAAGCTCACGATGACGACTCAAATGCATGGAGCTGACCCACTATCTCAGGGTGCACGGATTAGTCTGTTTTCGGAAGGACCCTGTAGATCTCTTGCAACGACTGAAGTCATGGCATTATGTCATCCCATTGGCCATCCATGACATGTGTCAGCCTTGGGGCAACACAGGCGAGCAGGCAACACAGGGTCTCACAGGGGGCAACAGTATGGCTTCTTCGTAGCCCATGTTGGACGACGATCTGTGGGCTAGCTTGACATCGACCTCATGCGGCTCTTTGTTGCTCCATGTCTTCAGAATTCAACGACGTCTTGAGACAAGGGGTTTGGGAATTGCGGGTTCTCATCGATGATCCATCCATCCATCCACCACCCGTCAGACCAGACCAGATACTAGACTACCACCCTACCACAAGGGCAGTGAGAGGGATCAAAGCGCCTTTGTGAATCCATATGCCTCATATGCCTAGAGAGGTACACCTCGCAATTGACATCATATCTAGACAGTCGACAGTGAACTAAATTAACCATACACGTTTCTCGCACGAACCGGGTGTGGCAGTTCGGCTCGTCCTTAGCTCGAAAGGAACTGCCGTGTCTCACTCAGTACACAGAAAGGAAGATGGAGGGGGGGCACGCGAAGACCCGAATAGGCCCGATGGACGTATTTGGTCGAAGTCTGCGTACCCGCGTAACGGTTATCAAGAATATATCGTCAGTTGTCGGAAAACTAACAAATTCTCCACGCTAGTTCAATAGGCAGCTTCAAGTCTAACCAGCTATGTCACTTGGCGAGGCACATGCATAGCGCTAGCAATGACGAGGAAAGCGAGGCAGTCAGGTCAGCTCGCGAGAATGCCTACCACCCCTGATCGGCCATTTTCCTGGACGGAGGACGTGTAAGTGGAACGGCCGGGACGCATGCAATCATTGGAGAGAGCAGAGAGAGAGAGCAAAAACAGTCAACAGTCGGACTCTGGTCGGACTATGCCACTGCGGAAGATGGCCAGAGAGTGATGGTTGAGAACGTCAGTCTGATGACATGTGGTACTGGGCACAGTAGGTACCTATCTGACCTACCTACATAGGTATGTCTTGCAGATACTGTAGGTACATGATATCTCCCCGGGTTCTCTGCCCATTAGGTATATCGGCACGCCGCAAATGTAGGCGCCGAGCCCTGCCCGAGAGAGGGGTACCTAATGTAATGTGTGTACGGAGGTTCTGGGAGGTCAAGGTCGTATACGTCCATCACCCTGAGTATTGGCCTACCGTGCCAAGCCTGATGTATATTTGCGACCCAAACCTACGTAGTCATGGTGATGCTCATGTGCAATCGCGCTGGGAGAGATATGCAAGTACCTATCATCCTACATCGTAAGTGTCAGGTCTTTACGATGCTGAAATACGTCGTTGTGGTGGAAACGTGTGCCTCACCACAGACTCACCGCCTATACGTCCAGCGGTTGAATTAAACCACCTACATATCTATATGAAAGTTAGGTACAGTACATACCCGTTCACTCCCAAATACTCAAGTGTCCTTATTGAGAGGATGAAGAGGATGAGGAGGATTAGAACACTTCAGGGGTGCATCGTGCCAGTCCCATACTAGCATGGTCAGAAGCATCGCGTAGAAAATCGCAGATCTGACCGACATGTACCTAACCTACACCAGAGTCTACCTAGTTACACTCACCCGCAAGTGGATACACGAATACGCCCCAAAAGGGAGAGCGAGAGAAGAAAGAGCCAGAAAGGTGAAAGGTAAAAAAGGAATGCAAAGGAAACCCGTTTGCGCTTAGGGCGAATGACGTCAGTCTCACCAATACTGCATACCTACCTACCATACCTGTATCTGCCTAAAATAAAACATGAATTCCATTTTCGTCTAGATAATCCCAGGTAATCCCAGGTAGCTTCAACAACAAGAGATATCTGGTAAACGGAACGCAGTATCAAGGCCACGACGGATGTATTCGTCTATTTTAGGGTGGGTAGAGGTGGGCGGACAGAGAGGCGGAGTTAAGGTGAGAGCGGAGCTCTAAATCATTCCCAGTCTACCCAGAGATCCAAAACCACAACCGGGTGGCCCCTTCACACGGTTCAAATGGCGCCCCAATAAGCCAGGTACAATGCGCATATGTATGTAGGTACGTCAATGTGGGCGGCTTTCTAGTCTTCCGAGCGCTGTTGTGTTTGGAACCATTGCTACGCGATGACGAAACGCGAGGCCATAGAGTTACAGCCCACTCGACCGTCATCTCATCTATCCTCCCACCCATCCTCTACCGAACCTTACATGACATGCCATGGGCGGATATGGGGTTCGCTGACATAATTGACGTAGAGATTTCAGATACCAGTCTTGCAGTAATGGGATCATGTCCAACTTGCCTGGCTACACGTACAATATGGCAGGGCCGCGCGAGCCTTGGATTGTTGGATGACCTGCCTATCTGCTGCCTACTACTTTGGCCAAGCTAGGCATCCTTTTTGCCAGTTTCGGCAAGACTTGTCTTGTCCCCTTCATATGTCATGTACACGATATAGCTCCCCTTTGACCTTACGAAGTATGTGTTTTGCTGCAGGAACTGAATTGCTTATCGAAATATTACGTCGTTCCGCAGGGGCTCCCGATGGAGGTGAGATTCCATTAGTTTCCTTTTTTCGGTCCAGAGAAGCGACAAGCGCGCGTTATTCTACCTAATTTCTGACTAGCATCCCGCTATCATTTCCACTACCATACCTGCTGTATCTCACATCTACTTACATAGTACTGAACTCGTCATCGCGTGTTTGCCATACATAGTACTCCCTTCCTTGATACACTCACAATACCCATGGCTTCGGCTCTGGCCTTTGCCCTGGATTTAGTAAGTACTAACCTCGAAACTATTTAGATATTTAGGATCTGGGTAGTATTACAGCCAGGCCTTTGCAGCATTTCCCATATTATTCCCTGCAGGTTCCCCGCTAGCTGTCTGTGCAGGTAAATATAAAAAACGCTGTGATATGACGTATCAGGCGGAGGGTCCGTCAACTATATACACCCCCATACAAATGGCTCTAGGAGCCTAGAAACTTCAGTTACAGTACATTGCTTGCAGATACAAGTCTAATACGAGTAACCGATACACAGGCGCATCTCTGTTGAAAGAACACATACTAAATACTATGGCTCAGCACCACCCACAACAATCTGCAGCGCACTTCATGATCAAGCCTCGTGAAGGGCAAACATTGGTTTGTAGTTAACGTAATTGATGCTCTTTCATATCTACCTACCCTGGACAGGGCCTTCAAGTGTAGCGGACCCCCCACTGTATGACAAAGTCTAGGTTATGCAAAGAACTATGTCGCGAAGCACACTACGTAACCATGTGGCGGGAAGGGATCTTCACGGCACCTTGCTCTCGGCTACTACAGTAGCGTAGGTAGTTCAAGGGTTTGGTGAAGTGGAGCAGCACTAAGATGTGGTTCTGTCCGTCGAGACTACAGCCTCAACTTGCTGGGTTATTCTACTGCATCTACATGGCGGCAAGGCACGCCCCTTTGTCCCTACGAGACCTACCTATCTTACGGCGTGTAGGTCGCTCGCGTTTGTGTCTCACCTGTACGTCACAAGGCTGGAATTTGGTAATCCTAGCGAAGTATGATAGATGATGTGTAAGCAGCCAGCCGTCAACAAGAATCCTAACTAGATGAATCAACCATGTTCGTGAGAGAATCAAGGTCCATTAATGTCTCTCATACAATAATCGAAAGACATTGGGGATATAGATTTATGTTTATCATCCATCCCAAGCCCTAGTATCAACTAAATAGTACAAATAACAATGCCTTGTCGCCAATGTTGTCTCATGATATCTCTCCTGGGTGGATGGTGTCACTACTACGTCTGAACACACGCCAGATATTCCGACGAGAGCAGCGACTTCTTTAACGTACGACTGAAATTACAGTCACAGCATTTCACCCAAGCCTTGAGCACCACGTTGTACTGCCGAAGGATTCTGCTGCCGAGTTAGTACAGCCAAGATATCGATACATGGCGTCTCAGCGTTTACATCCTCTTTCTACTGTCATTACCAGGGCACGAGGGATCTCTATCACCCATTAGTTGAGTTAAACTCCGTCATAGCCATCTCCTCATTCTTCTATCCAGCATCACTATATCCAATGACACAGGCCACACATCCAAACTCGTAAACAGGCATACTTTGGCAGTGCTCTATGGTAGCCAAACGCGTTTAATCTAAACACTCAAGTCCTTGGTTCAACCCTTGCCATGGAATTACATGATTTTTTTGCCAGAAATGATGTCGTTTACCGGCGTTGTGCGCAGGTTAATTGCTCTTTCGCATAAGATAGATAGATGATCGGCCTCGCCCCTTTCGTCATCTGTTCCGATCCAGGGACCGCGGCCGTTAGCCCCGAACCACCGATGACGATTTAATCAACCTCCGCAGCGATGTTATGTCATATTTGTCGACATTATGTATGCGAAGTTGGTAAAGGCGAGGCCAAACTTCTCTCGTCTCCGCGTAATATAGTGCGTACCGGGTGCTGATGACTGCTGCTCGTTCCAGCCCTATGTCAGCGAGGGAGTATTTGTTATCAAATCGATGCATCTCATTTAGAGGGCCTAGTATGCCGTAGCAGAGGTCTCTTCTGAGTGCAGTTCGATATTGGATTGCGCTTTTACCATCTTGTTATACTATCCATACACAGTGTGCCCATTGTATCTGCTCTGCTTGGAATCTTCAGTGTTATGCTCTTCGGACAATACCGTGAGGGGAAAAACAGAGCTAAAATCAATCATCGGTTTAGGGGAGGGTGCTCGTAGTACGCAGCAAGAAAGAAAAGGAGATTTTGATTAATGAGGGCAGCTCGCGATACTATTCTTTGTTGATATTTGACTGCCTACGTTAGCTAAGAAACGAAGACCTAGTATTTATCAAATTCGCCGAGCAGGTGATACATAGGTAAGTGAATATTGCAAATGCTAGCTCTCGATCCGAGAAAACCACAGAACCGAGACAAAAGAGTAGTCTGGTTTGAGAGGTCATGGATATATAGGAGGTGACGGAGAGGGGCAGTTGACCTAGTTCAGTGGAAACAAGGAATCTGGCTACGAAATCTCCTGAATGCTAGAATGCTCACTCACCAAGAATTTTAAAGCTTCAAATGAAAAAGGGTACCCCCCCTGTTCTCGCCTCCATAGGTAGTAGGTAGCTCATTTCGAAATGGGACGTTTGGATAAACATGTTACATTCATAGCTATGTACTACTAAGACTCCAGCTCGTGAATGCAAAGTACCTTTATGTTTCTGCCCTGTAATGTTGGGATTACACCGTGTTAGAGGTCCAGAGCTAGCTTTGTGTTATGAGAGTTAGTGAAAAATGGAATGGGTGGTAAAGGCAAGGAGTGGTGAGATACCAAAACCCATTCAATCAAAGTATTCATGTTCTCGTATCCGGATATACGCTGTTTTGCAGTCTAGAAAGTTGAAACCGGAGGTAGTCTAAGCTCAATGCCTTTCACACTCAAGACACTTAACGAGTTGGGTAATCCATATATTTGAAAATGTAAGAGGGCATTACTATACAGAGTAGCACCGATGCTCTGTCCTTTCCCATGTATGTACGCCCTAAACGCCTCAAAACATCTTATAATAATCTGGGTATCAATTTCCCACCCTTCTGCTCAGCGGGATGAGTTGTAGTATGGAATCTGCCCGCCGAAGACTTCCTATACATTATACATTTACAGTGCACACATACAACGGCCCCGTTGCGCCAGAGAATTCGAACAATTTCGCAGCCCAATTAGTCCCTTCGACTGGTAGCCATGCTCCAGTACGAGTCATAAGAAACCTGTAGTGATTGCTGGGCCTTATTACCAAGAACATCGCCCAAATGTGAAGACTACGCCATGAATAAACCCTGGCATCTGGCTCTCGTCTCCTAAACGTCGAGGGAACGACCAGCTCACGGGAGTCATGTCTTAGAAGCCTCCACGATGGCCAAGAGAGCCCGCATCGTCCAAAACTTCGAATATACCACTGATCTTGCGCGTAGGTCTTTTCACCGGACCACTGAAGATGTCAAGCGTTGCTGGCGCCCTAGCGGGTGCTGGTTCTAGCAGGTCCAGCTCTGGCCCGTCATTCTCAGGTTCTGTATATGACAAAAACGGTGGACGTAGTGGAGCTGGCGACTTCAATGCAGTAGAGGGTGTGGATGCTGAAGGAAGTGTAACTGATGCATCCAACAGGTATGCCGCTAGGAGCTCGGTGAGGTCGGCAGTGGCCGCGGGTGCGGGAAGAGGGAAAATCGGACGGCTGATCCGTTTATAGGAACGCGGCGTCTTCTTTGGACTCTTGATAGGATCTGGATTCCCAGAATTGGCCGTGGGCTGGTCTTGCTGGGTGGATGCTCGCTTGCTCAAACGTCTCCTTAGCTCTGTCTGTTTTCGAGGTGACAGTGAGGTCAGGAACTTCCGCCGTGGCGGTGGCGGCTGTGGCGGCGGCGACTGGGCGAGAGAGGGAGTTACGCCGGGGCGCTCGAAGAAATCAATGCCCTTGGAGACGGGTATGTTGCCTGATACTGTAGATTCGGCCTCGCGAAGCAGAGCTTGCATCTGGTCCTCATCCAGTTCGGACAGGAGGTCTAGGACGCGGTCGATCGATGATCGTGACCTATGGTGGGCTCTGCGCGACATGTCGAGTTCTTTTCGACTTCAATCAGGCACTTCGAAGATGGAAAAGCACTCGTGTAGCCAAGACAAGTCGCTACTGACACGGGCAGAACGCGTCGACGGCATTTGAAGGTTGTGAGGAGTTGATACGAGCCAGACGAGACGAAATTCCTTGGTGGAATGCTGAATATGTATATTCTAATAAGGGTGGGTAAGGGACAGCAACTTCGCCATATACAATTGGCCAATCATGTCGCGTTGGGTGCAAGGGGCCTGCCCATTTCTGTAAAGGGAAGCATTAGCGTTTCAGAGCTGGATGTAAGGCGCCTGTAAGGGACGTTACGACGGTGCCTACGTGTAAGTACACCTCCACATACCCACGCGTACATAAGAGGTAACATATGTAGGTAGTGAGTACTTATCTAGGCCAACTTGGGTAGGAGGTAGGTTACAATGGGTTCATCTGGGCTTATTAGAGTGTGCCTTGGGTACCTACCTACGGTACCTATACAGTTCGCTACAGTTACCTATATCACAAGTATGTTAAGTTCATATGTAGTAGGTAGGTATCTCCTATGCGGTGCCCCTGGTAAGAGTCCGTGGGACGCAAGGGAGTTCAACATCTCAGCCAGTTGCACTTGGCAGAATCAGGAATAAGGATTTCCGGTGCCTTTGGATCAAAAAACAGACATCGGCAGACAGACATGGACAGACATGGGGTTCGTGACCCGTCGAACGAACCATTGTCTCGGGAATTTCCACGCCGAGCCTTCGAGCTTCATCACTTTGACCCCACTCGATCATCACTAATGGGCCTCAACCTTGTCTTGCCAAGTCGACAGTCAGTCGATCACAACCTAGAACTATCTGTGCAAAATGAGCCTGCCTCGCCTGCCGCTTTGTTCCTGGCCTTCCGCGTAACCTTGGGATGCAATGGACCAACCTCATTCCAAAGTCTGTGGTCTGTCTGTGGTGATTTACATCTAATTTGGAGCGGAACAAATAAGACTGTCTAGGTATTCAGGCGTTACCTATCTAGTAGGTAATTCAATAAAGTCCTCCGTGGGGTAAATGTCTTGAAAGAACGGGGAATTCCAGTCCCCTGCATCTGCCCCTGGTAGGTACCCAGTCAGCCATTTAGTCGGCGATACCTAGGATTGGGATAAGAGATGTTTTCCCGAACTACCCGAAAAGGTTCTTTGTTCTCTTTAAAGACATTTCTCGGTCCTATTAAGCTTGATACAAATTATTGGACCGAATGGCGCAGCTGGATATCACGAGAGACATGCAGGTTTTCTAGGCGAAGGGGTTTCGAACAGGATAATGGGCGGTTGTTTCGGATTCTTTTTTCTCCTATTGGAAAGCATTATACTCCGTAATGAAACTATATTTACTATGTATACACAATAGTACAAAATGGGCATGCCATGTTCGATCACCATCGTAATAGTCATCATTTTGTGGTCGTTGCCAAACCCATCATCTGACGCACCGTGTCTTACCATCCCGTCTTTAATAGTATACTGATCTGAGCCCTCTTGATTTTCATCACCAGAGAATACCTAGCCACCAGAGACCTTGTCGGTTTAACTACTCATTATCGTGGCGATTTGGCTCCTAATTGCGCTAGCTTTTTCCGTTTGAAGATGACTCCTTAAAGCAACTGCCGTTTGTAATTACCCTTGCCTCTTGGTGAAGTCCTCTAAAGTCGTTGCATTTCTTCGACTCTAATCGACAACCACCAGCTGCTGTATCATATCTTTCATCAATGCTTTTGAATAGTTTTCCTTTTGTGTACTGTGAATCTGCATAATCATTCCAATCGACCTAGGAGAAATCAGGCGTCTGCCAAAGGCCTATGAGAGAGACTATGTCAGTTTGAGAAGCGTGCCTGCCATCTAGCCTCTACAAGATAATGTGGGCAAGTTCACGTAATTCCCCCTGGCTAAGAGGTTCTTCTTATTCTTACTAGGTAAGAGGAGTGTACCTACTTAACCAGTTTGAAGAATGAGTAGCGATCTATCAGCTGACTAGTTTCCCGAGGCACATATCTCGACACTGTCCTGATGAAAGTGAGACAAATCGTAATTAATTACTAGTCACATTGTAAATCGCTTAGGGACAGTACATACCAAAAAGACCTCGTTTTTCTGTTGATAACCCAGTTTGGCGTTTAGATCAACCTGCTGTTTATGAACGAGATGTAGGTTTTCCTATTGGAGAATTTGGTTACTTATCACTCGACGAAGATTCTTCACAGGGACCGAGATCGGCTAAGGGAAAAAACCCCAGATTGTGTAAACAAATCTCGAGATGTATATATTGATACACGAAAACCGGACCATTTTCTGCGCTGGAACTGCCAAACTACGGACATGAGAAGTATGGTGATGGCTCAAAAGAATGGGGTGTGTAACTATCTCCGACGGTTTCCGGCGGATATACAGTATGCGAGCTACAAAGCACTGTCCAGCGCACTCTCCACTGCGATATGGCCAAAAACTTCATAAGGAGCCGTCAAGATGGACATCGAGCTGTACATCTAGGACCGCATTGTCATACCTGATTCTTCTTTTTGGCTCGAGGGAAATCTTTAATAGGCATATAATCCCATTTTCTTTGACCTTTTTCTTCGAGGGCGAGGGACATAGATTTTCCGCCATGGCACCACCAGAAATCAAAGTCAACAATCTAACATACACTTTCCCCCAGTACGACACGGGGTTAAGCAATGTCTCCCTGAATGTGCCGGCGGGAAGCCGCACGCTTCTCATCGGCGCCAACGGCGCAGGCAAGACCACGCTCCTCCGTCTTCTCGCGGGCAAGCGTCTCGCGCCCAGCGACAGCATCAGCATCTCGGGCGTCGACCCGTTCAAAGAGGGGCTCGAGGGCGTTACGTACCTAGGGCTGGAATGGGTGCTTAACCCCATCGTGCGCACAGACATTGGCGTCGCGGAGCTCCTGCGCTCTGTCGGCGGCGACGCGTATCCCGCGCGACGGGACGAGCTGATATCCGTCCTGGACATCGACGTGAAATGGCGCATGAGCGCCGTCAGCGACGGTGAGCGGCGCCGCGTCCAGCTAGCCATGGGCCTCGTACGCCCTTGGACCGTGCTGCTCCTGGACGAAATCACGGTGGACCTCGACGTGCTGAGCCGTGCCGAGTTCCTCGGGTGGTTGAAGCAGGAGACCGAGTCCCGCGAGTGCACCATCGTCTACGCTACACACATCCTCGATAACCTCGCCGGTTGGCCCACGCATCTCGTCCATATGCACCTGGGCACTGTCCGTGAATGGGGTCCTGCGGATCAATTCCTCGGCGAGAGCGCGAACCTTCGCAGCACGGGCAACAGCCGCCTCGGTGAGCTGGTGCTGGGCTGGTTACGGGCAGATTTGAAGGATCGCGGCCCACGGAATGTCAAGACAATGGGTACGGAGGGTGCTGCGTACTCGACCGGCGGCATCGGCGGCTACGGCCTGGAACATAAGGACTGATGCGGACTCGATGTACTGAAGGGTGGCTTTCCGGGAATGACGGAAAGAGAGCCACGGCAGAAGAGAGCACTCGGTGTATGGCATACAACGGCGTTGGGCGATTGCACTTAACTTGCATTTGGGTACCTTCAACATAGAGCATGGGTGGAGTTTTTAAGGAATGGTTTTCATCACCCATTCTGCAATCTATCAAGAACTTGGAACTGCAATTTCTTTAGAGATACCCTTTCAACAAAGGCTGGTTGGAACAAGACTAAATATAGGCTCTGGAAATGAGATAGGAAATAAACTTGATTAGACATGTTGTTTCCTTTCCTCTGGAGTTCATTAATTTTGCCGAGGATTGCTATGTTTACACCTGCTTATTCCAGTAGCTTTTTGATCTCCTTAGGTTCTCCATCTTCATCCAAGGCGATCTATAGCAGTGGTTTACGGTTTTTTGAAAGGGCAAGTTCCGGCTCGGCCCCTTTCACCATTTTCGCCTTCGCTTGGCAAATATTCCTGGCGAACCTAGGTCGCCGATAGTATTTAGATGATGCCATTCGATGAATGATCTTGTATCTGGTAACCAACGGCTAAAGCGAGAGTTCGCAACAGAAGATATTCTGAATTCGTATATAGATCTGAGGTAGTCTACTTCTGTCGCAGAGTTCCCATCGTAACTGACAGTAAGTGTTCAACACCTCTCATGTCACGACTGCCCAGGTAACCCAGAACGCCGCGCCGATAATCATCCCAGGACACATTGATACCGCCCCTGTTAGCGAGGGTCCTCAAAGAGGTCTTTGTTACCGGGCCGGCATGCTTGACATCAAGCGTCTCCTGGTCTTCTATTTCGTCTTCTAATTCCCGCAGGAAAGAAATTGAGAATGAACTGAAGAGGGGCGAGTAGGATAGTGAGAAGAGACTAGCAAGAGGGGCACCAATTGATAGACTGGCGACGTAAGTCGACAAATCCTCGACCAGCGGGTGTGGAATCAGGCATCCCTTCGCATTAGCGTCTTCTCCACTCAGAGCGCGTTGCCTCCACAAACAATTACAAATATCCATTAAGAAACCGTTGAATTCGGGAATGTGTCTTGGTGTATAGTTCACTTGAGCAACTCTCATTGCAGTTTGGAAACCTTCTTTGTATTTCGCAATCACAGAACACACTCGAGATGCAGTCGATGGAGAAGCAGCAAAAAACATGCTGTAAATCAGGGTCGCTGGAGGTACGGCAGGAACTTGGACATGCGTAAGGAGGTGTACGTCAGAGGATAGAGATGAGGTCTCGTAGTAGAAGTCTAAAACTTTTCCATGTGTGGACATGTTGCTCGATGTCTGGATGAGGGTTAAACAGAGGTTGTTGACGTGTGCAACAAGGCCAGCAGCGCATTGGGATGCTTGTAGGGACTTCTTGTCAGAGGATACCAAACGTGTTATCCACTGGCGTAATAGGGACGTGAAAAAGTCCAGGATCTGAAGTTGTGACTGTGGCGTTCCATCTAGTACCTTCTTTTCAAGAGATTGAAAAAGATTGGCTTGGAGTTCTGTGTCTGATTAGCTTGAATAGTCCGATGCCATCGGTAGTTTCCGCACCTTGAAAGTCTCCTAGCGGTGTATAGGTCAAGATATCAAGGACCAGTTCTCTCCCTTCGACACCATCCCAGTTATTCATAAGCTCCGCGAGGAACGCAAGAAATATTGGAGGAAGAGCCTAAAAAAATTAGTTACGTTCGGAACAACAAACAACAGTATCATACTTTGGTGGCCGTGACGTAATTCTTTAGGGTGTTTAGAATGTCTATTATATGAGTATCGGATTCCCCTGCCATCATGTCTTGTGTATAAGAGCTTAACCAATTGCATGCACGTAGATGCGCTTGGGCTTGTGGCCGCAGGTATAGAAGCTTCTGCAGTAAAGGATCCCCAAGGACGGAAATAAGTTGGTTTGGTAATTCAATTCTTTCGAGGTTCTTTACAAAGCCATCAACGCTTTCAATTTCCTCGAGTGTTATGGAGCGCTAGGCCAGATGGTCAGCTAGACTACGTTATTATAATGTGGCCAACACAAGGCGGACTAACCTCTGTTGCGTGTAATGTATGAACTTCAGGAATTAAAAAGTTCTTGGTGCCATTCAACCTATGGCGTGCTACTCTGAAGGCATCAAGGGGCGTTTCTGACCGTGAGGCGCGTCTTTGCGCATGAGCTCTCCGAATCTCGTCTAACCTTTCGCGCCATTGTGAGTCTGGGTGCTAATTCTGGTTAGTGAATGCACGATGGTAGCAATTCTCTTTACACGCACGTTGAAGGCCGATGCCTTCCCTCGTGTCACATCTCCAACGATTATCTCGGGATAGTAGTCTTTGTAGACTCTGAGGAGACCGGTGAGCGCTGGGTCATTGCCAGTCTGCCTTGACAATAACAGGCTGCATACTAGTCAGCGAAGATAACAAATATGTCGTATTGTCAACACCCACAGTGACTGAATCCTGTGAGGACGGACATGTCGGCGGCGTGTGATGAGTGCCAGTAAGTGGCATACATGTGTTCTAGCAACATCAGTTACGAGCCATTGAAAATAGACACAACAAGGCCTTACCGAAGGGCTGCAGTATCAAGCAGGTTGAACAGGACTGGGTATGCCTGTAGGAAGTAGTTTCGGCTCTCGACGACGTTTTGAATCATAATAAGCCACTTCAATAAAGCCGCTTGAATGGTGAGAGATGGCTTGAGCTTGCCATGACCGAGACACCCTATGACCTTGATGACCAGTTCACCAGCCACAGAGGTTGCAGGGTACAAATTCCTAATAACACTAGAGAGACTAGCTTGATCCAAGAAATTCGGCGTTGTGATGAGGTTGATTAGTTGGTTCAAGTCAGTTGGCAAGAGGCCTTGATCATATGCTAACGATGTCAATTGATCAACTGCAGGCTTGACGTTCATCCCCCGTTGTTTTGCCGGCAATTTCGACGCTTATTGGAATTAGCAGTGATTGAGACATCAGATAATACCCAGGCGTACCTCGAAGCACTTCTGACAGAGGCACCTGCATTTCCTCTGAGGTTTCTAGAGGAGATGAAGCTTGGGCCCTGGTAGGGGTTTGTCCTTGCTCCTCCCCGGGCTCCTCTTGGCCTGGATTTCGGAACCTTGACATACTGACATTGGGTGACTGCAAAGAGAGTCGAGCTGTTTATCGAGCAGGAAAGAACATGCTAAAGCCGGAATATGGAGACCACCATAAAGTTGAATGTCCTTGATCATTCATTCTATTATCTAGGGTTTGGACATAACTGTATGAATGGTTGCACGGACGCGCTCTACGAAGGTACATAGGTACCTACCTCCCATCAAACGCGTTGTGGGTAAACGTCCCGATATGTGAATAACGTACCAGATACGACCCGATATATACATACATGCACTCTCAAGCCCACCACCTGCAAAGGCATTACATAGTAGGCATTGCGCCGTTTGTGTTCGTCGGGCTGTTTCCAATGCCGGCTTACCAAAAGTGACCGTTACACATTACTGCGGCGGTATCCGTGGATGTTTGTTTCGAACCTACTGGATAGAGATACCCTTTTCTGCCCTTCCCTTTGATTAGATGCTCACAGGGAAACGATGGGAGCGAATGCAAACAGCTTCCCAAAAAGTCCTCTCATGCCTCTGCGTACCGGTACCTCCCGGGGTTACCTCTCTCCCGCAATCGAGCTAACTTCGTATCAAGATTATACTTATACTGTATATGGCATGTGGAAACGGGGTGCCCGCAAGTCCGGGTTGCTGACGTTGGAGCAGCTTGCATGTACATATCAATGGGTTTCGATGCTGCGCCTAATCGGACTACTGTAGGTACACGCAGAAGCGAAGGGCGGACGATCCGCTTCGTGACGTTGGACCTACCTACCACAGCACCCACAGCACGGCATGGCACGAGCCAGACGAGCTAGGCGAGCCTAGGAACCTTTAGCCTATGTGGTGGAATATGGAATGCTAACGCGGCGATGCGATACGATAGAGAGAACTCGAGGTAAACCGAGATCCGTAGACAGCTACATCTATCTCTTCCGTACCTGTTTAGGTCACATGACGGGGTATTGTATCCATCGACAGGTTACATATGTATGTGTATAGGTATTTGCCTGCAATGTGAGCCTGCATTTATCATGTTGAATAGGTACTCAAGCATTGTAGGTAGTACAGAGCGCGCAAAGGTGCCACAATACCTATCTATATATACCTACATCTGCACAGGATGACGGGATTCGTCCTTGGACTGACTGGCCCGAGCCGATCGGTGTCACCCCGACCAGTGTCAGGGCGCACAGCTCAGGCAGTGGACAATGTGAGTGAATAATAAGGGTCTGTGTTACCACCTGCTCACGCTTCCCTTTCGAACTTCTCCATCGTCTCTCGAATCCGTGCCGCCAGCCTATGGGGTTGCGAGGCCAGAGTAGCTAAGGTTGTCAGCCTACATAGGTATGTTGCATGTACTTCGTAGACGGAGAGCGCTCTCGTGAGAAAGTCATGCATCACGATGCGTTACCAACAAATCACCCGCCAGAGCCCCCCTACCCATATCCGCGTTCGTATGTTCCTGTGTTTTGTGCAACCTCGGTCTTGCTGGGCTCTTCGAGGTTTCCTGCCCTCGAGAGTCTCTTCAGCGTCCCATTGCGACATTGCGACATTGCAACCTGCAACCTGCCACCCCCATGCGCCTTACGCTCCATTGTAAGTATGCGTGCTCCATCGCGTGCCCCATCGTATGTATGCTATGCGACTCATGCAACGCCTGCCACCCATGCCGCACACGGCGACGTGTACACCCCCGGTAGTGAATGCGCTGATTGACCGGTCCAACAGACCACCAGCATACATACTTCATACCGTAGTAGTATATTGCTGAAACGGCGAGATGGACGCTTTCCTTGCGCCCTGTGAGCCATGTGTTGCCTTGCGTGCCCCGCTGCCCAGGCTCGGCCTGTGTAAGCCTAACCGACACCTTTGGGAGACAATCGTTGGAATTTACCGAGATTCGCTGTGCTCCTGCGGCTTTGGCTCATATCCCACACGCGCAAGCTCACGACATGTGTACCGTGTTTAGTACCAATGGGCGGCCTGCCTGGCTTACTAGGTTATCGATCAACCTGGGCAGACGACTGTCTTCCCCTTGCCCTGTTCCATCAAACATGCAAGGCGCGTGCAACATAGACTGTATTATTTCACACACATACACCCTTCACCCACTTCGGGCTGCCTGGTTTGAGTTTTCTGCGTAACCACTCTTGCGAATAAAGCGTAAAATGAGCCGGTCCTCATATAGAAAACCTCTCTCGCCCACATTGAAGCCTTGGTCCTTGATGGACTCCACTCGGCAGTAAGCACATCTTCTCGCGAATGGTATATTTAGGTAGGTAGCTACCCTGTCTGGCTGTCTCATTGTCATCGTCCACCGCCATGGTTTGGCAGCGTTGGCGTCATTGAAAGTTGAGAGCATACACAGACAGGCTCTCATATTTTTTTTTTCTCAACCCGGTTTATATCCTCAACTTTCCCAGTTTCTAATGACGTGATTCTCAAGTTGTTGCGACCTGCTCTCGTCATTGGGCATCCTTCAGTCTTCAGCTACGAGGTTTCTGCCGATGAAAGACCAGGGGTTAATTGGCCCGTTATAGCCTGGACTTTTTTCTTTCTGATCGTCGTCTAGAGTTACCGCAGCATAGCGCTTCCTCCCGCGTGTCCGCCGCTCCCTTCTTAACAATCGATACACCTAAGCCGAGACAGGCTTTCGCCCATTAAACGCGACCGGCCCTATAACACCAGATCTCACTGTCAATCTGTCTGCTATATACAGTAATGTACACTGCCACCACCCCTTTATTTACCTTCTCCATCATCACGCTACAAGGCCTTTTTATCCCCCTTAAACCCCTAATTCCAAGACAAGACAGTGCGTTTGCCTCTTGAAAAGTCCCGAGGCCGTGTATCAGAATACCTAACTATCAAAATATTCCTCTATACATAAAACCAGCAGCAAGAAATTTTTCTGACGATGCTTGCATCGTAGCTTGCCCAACGGCAGTGTCGGTAAGTTTTGAACCCCAAGACATATGCTGAATCGTCACCCGTACCTTTAGGCTGGTATTGGGCTGACGCTGTCTTGGCAGAGGCCTTGTTTCATGGAGCCAGGGCGAGTTTTGAAGGAATTCTCTCCCTCTAGAAATGATTTCAGGTCATTTGGTTCTGCCGCCCGGAAATCGTGGAGGCCATCGCCATTCCCAGGTTACAGTGGTCCGAGACTATCAGGCTTGTATTCCTTTCACCAGGGTTCTTGGAGAAGGTGACATTGTACTACTTCTGACTCCTGTCATCACACCTCATGAACAAAATGGCAGTGATCCCTTTGAGCCATTTGGGCGAACATTGGCCGCAAGACATCCGTGGATTAGGCATGTTCCATACACCGCGCGAAACGGAATCACCAGCACGCATGTAGCTTTCATAAAGCGGGCGAAGGTGGTCATATTTATCATAACAAATCCACCCAATTCTAGGCAACTGTCGCAAGTCGAGATTGCCGAGGCGTCTCAGACTGTTGGAGATGAAAAACTCCATGTTGTTGTTGCGTGTGGAAATGCTGACGACTTGGGGCTTATTGAAGCAAGCTTTCCGACAATCATACAGTCTAGGTCCTCTCTACTAGAGCTTCATGCGGTGGCGGCCGTTCTTTTTGGAGAATCCTCGGGGGCTGGTACGAGTACAGTCAAAGTCCAGGAGCTGATGATACCTCCAAAGCATTGGCCACCGGAGGAATGGGACGGGCTCGATGTCACTCCAGTCCATGATCTCTGGAATCGTTGTTTACCCGATCAGTTTCACCTTGAGGAGTTTCCTCTACGAAACTTGCTTCAGCGGGATGGATACGCCAAGCATTTCATTGTCAGGCTCCCGGACACGGGCGAAATAATAGGTTTCTGCGCAACCTACACTACGTATGTTGACAAAGATGAAGAGCGACTGATTGGGTCGCTTGCTATCGTCATAGTCAAGTCACCATATAGAAGGCGCGGTATAGGAAGAAGTCTTTACGATCACGCGTTAAGGCAGTTGAAGAGGATCCGGGGCGTAGATCGTCTCAGGCTAGGCTCGACATATCCCCGATTATTGAGCGGCATACCAGCACGTTCCCCTTCGGAAGAGTGGTTCCAAAGGCGCGGGTGGACTATGGATAGACTTGGCCCCGGACGAGGGGAGTATATCTGCGACTGGTTGCTCAAAATAGACGACTGGCCGAATGGAGGAGTATCAACAGGCCCCCCCGGCTTGGCTTTTCGTCCAGCTACTTTCAGTGATTTCGAAACTGTATCAGACTTCATTGAGAAAGAGACTACGCACAAAGATTATACGGGTTGGTACGACCAGTATATGAACCTAGCCCACGACGGGCGATTCGACGATATTATTCTAGGGACGGAGAGATCACGAATCATTGCTGCGGCATTAGTCTACACGTCCCGCGATGGTAGTTCATTGGCATTGGACATTCCATGGGCTCGGACGATAGGACATGATGTGGGAGGTGTGACATGCATATGCATTGCAGGTTGGTCATTTATTTATTAATTTGGTGAGACGAATTGGCTTACTAGAGAGTAGATGACAATGGATCAATGATGAGTAGCAGGGATACTGTTATGATCAGGCTCCTTGACGCGTGTATCACAGTGCTACGGAAACACGGAATGCAGCGTGTCTATCTCGACGCTATCAAAGGTGGTGACGAAGGATTTCAATCAATGGGTAAGTAACCCTATTCCTCGCCGGCTCTCCATAGCTAAGAGGGGAAAAGGCTTCCAAAAATGGGCCAAGTACAATGAGCTCTGGCAACAGATATAATGCGTATGCAGGCTCATGTTCGACGAATGGTTTACCGATGTTTGAGAATCAGCGGACCGCTCAACTAAATCGCAATGATGAACACCATATATGACCTACCGTGCATCAACAAGGACTATCAATGAGGTCTCTTGATAAGATGCTACGCACCTATTTAGAAGATCTTCGAGCAACGCCATTGCTAGCAAAATTACCACTTTCCGGTTCTACTATACATAAAGTCAGAGGTTGGTGGTACCGCTGTTAGATAGCCGTCAGTGTCGAGGCGGCTGATTTGACCTCAAAGCTCGATTCAAAGACTGGCCCAATTTTGGCAAAGGGGTTTTAGATGCAGGCACTACAGAATGCCACGCGTATACTCTAATTCGCTCCACACGCTCGGCATTCAGCCAGTTCTGCTGAACGATGGACGCATCCTCCCAGGAACTGTACTTAATGGCTAAAAGTTAAGGCGGTTGCCTCCTCCAGAGAGGGAAGACAGGCCATGTGCACAAATCATTTCATATCAGCACTCGGATTCGATGAATTCTAAAGCCACTGACCCTTAACATGATATCTGACCGTTATAGAATAGTATCAGCAACTGTGACGGCTCAAGCCCAACCCCCATTGTGGCGATCTGCTGGCGTTACAGGTCTTGGACTTGAGCGGGGGTTCGTGGGGGCGAAATCCTACGAAGAGCATCTAAGAGGTATTCCCAAACCTCGAAACCAATAGGAATTAAACCGCTTCACCGACTCCAATCTTACTCGATGTTACGGTAGTCGCTCGCTGGGAAACATTAAGACGGGTGTCATGGATAGAATAAGGGAATACATACCCGTATGAAACCATCTGGAAATCTGATATTGATAAGCTCGCTGCCTTCAAGAATAATCATGTCTGCTAAGGGTTACTGTTGTTCTCAAATGAAACCCGTTGCTTTCTGCACTCTGCACTCTGTTACATACCCAAGAGGCTTCCGCCCCCTCCCCTCTCTCTATTCCGATTGTTTTGGCTCGCTGCATGTCAGCATCAGGACACAGCAGACGAATTAGCCTTCTACATATGAAGTTACAGCAGCCTCTCATCCTCCCTTCGTCTTACCTTGACGAGGACAGCACATACAACAGGCTTATTCCAACCAATCCAGCTTGCATAAACTTGCAGTATCGAGAAACATATTCATGGGCTCTAGTTCCGCGGCGTTATAGTCGTCTTGGCACCGCAGGAGGTTAGGCAAGACTCCCGTACGGCTACGACTATGTGTCACGCGCCAATGTCTAAATACTTAGTGTGGCACAACTGCAAAAGCCGGAGTTGCATGCATGAAGAAAATGTGCTGCTCATGCTCAAATTTGCACGCTCGTCTATTCCAAAGCCTCAACTTAGGTATTCACCCACGGTCAGAAAATAGTCTATGTTCGCTATTGCTTTTGTAGTAACCGCCTTGCGCGCCCAATCCTCCCAGCACGCAAACGTGGCTCTGCTTGTGTCCGATATCAGCGGAATTTCCACTTTAGCTAGCTATTTTACACAAGTGATACAAATTTAAAGCTCATTCTACAAGCTGCTCATCCTAAAACGCAGCCACTGCAGCTATCGTACTCTATTTCGAGTTCCACATTTTGTTACACTTCATATAGGGGACCACGCAGGCATCCGTTTGCCCTGCGCCTAAGAGCATAGATTCGGGCTTGCTCCTAGTGTCTCTGGAAAATACCCTCAATATGAGCTATTAGCCTTAGGAGAATCAGCTTTAACCATATTTTACAGTCGCAACTGACACCTACAGCGCTCCAGGCTGGGTATCAATAGTCCAGACCTATATACTATGAGGATGACTGAAGTACCTAGTCACAGCTCCTTCAAACCCTAGCCAGCTCTTGACAGCACCCAATTAGCTCTGGCTGGCCTTTTTGGTACAATGACACTACATTTATTATTGTAGGAATCAAGAGTTCGAATACCATACAGTCTATCACGTGGCTCTTCTAAAATACGAGTCGCATTCCCAAAAACCCAAACTAGTTCTTGAATTCGAACACAGATAGTTCATGCGAGTACCGAGTTGTTATCAATTCAACTTGCATTAACAGAAAAAATCGCCTTTCAGCTTCAACCTTATCTCACCAAAACATACAACTCGGGGTTGACCCCTGTTTCAACTGTGCGATCATGTCGCACCAACTGTCTGGCCTCTTACAGCATGGTCGAGTTGGCGGCTGAACTCGCACCGTCGACTCGTAAAGTGCCACATTATACCTTGCTCAGTCACTAGAATAGCCATTACACCAACCTTCCGATTATCTGTTGTGCTACCAACTTAACCCTCCGTTGCTAGGATCGGGCTCGAACTCAACAGCTCTTGTGTCACCCCGTGACCTGAAATCGTGTGATTACACGAGAGGGACGACATAGAAACGAGAATTGAAAGAAACGGTCAAAGGTGGCGAGGTTCAAGGATAATCAAAACGGCGAAGTTGTGATATTAATAGCCTTGGGGTATCTTTACTGGCCAATCTCTCATGCTTGTTCTGTGCCAACGCAACACGATATCTGCCCATTATTGAAAGTTACCAGCAAATATGCCGTGAGACGATCAGGCGCCCTCGTTTTCTTCATAACCACCTTGTGCTCTATGATATTGAAGGACGAATACCACCTCATGACCACAGCCTGCTTTACTAGCTGACATCTTTCAGTCTTCTTTGTTATGGTGTGGCATCATTTAACCCAGTTTCGCCTACAATGAGAAGTCAGCAAGGACCGGAATTCACCCAGATAGAACCCGCGACGCCGCAAATCGGCCATGAGCACATACCTACGGTGTGTTATGATCGCCTCGGTCCCGTCAACCCCATGACTCTCTACTTGATCGACTCGGATGATCGCCGTAAGACAAGACCGGACCAAGCTCAGAGCAATAAAAAGGTCAAGCAGGAAGGAAAAAAAAAGGGAGAGCTTACCGCTACTTCGGCTCTCTGGCGTCACCTCCTGTTGTACGAGGTACCTATCTAAGGTAACCGAGCCTGTCGGCCAACCCACCCTGCATAAGCGCGTCTTTCGGTTCTTGACGCAGCGCCCACACACCCACCCATCCACCTTGCCCTCCATCCATCCACCCCGTTCCATCCCTCTCCGTTTCCTTGGTCACTTCGCTACCTTGCCTGTGTTGTGCTTCTACTACCTCCTGTACTTCGTACGTGCGAACCACGGCAACGCAAATGAACGAGAGACAAGCACGGCGCCGGAGCCTGATAGTTCCCATTCCCCTTTCCCCTCGAACCCAGTCCTTGGGAAAGTGTAGTGGCTTTGCTCCGTCGTAGTATTCTGTCTTACCTACCTCTCCTATCCCATCCCACTTTTAACTACACCACGACAGGCGGTCCTTTTTTTTTTTTTGTTAGGTCTCATGTAGGTGTCGAGGTGTATACGTTATGTACGAAATCTCCGAGTCCTCCCCCATACTCGCACGTGAAGACGGTAAATCACCACCTAATTCGGCACCGCCTGGCTGACATACATATAGATACCATAGCATTCTTGCATGAAACAGGAAAGATTAGAGCGAAATACAAACAACAATAATAACTCATAGATTTACGTATGTAGTATATGTATGTGCACTGCGTATTCGGGTTTTGCTCGACTTGACTCATTGCACACAGCGTTAAATCAATCTTTTCACCCCTCTATTCTCTTTAAGAATTTCAGAAGAAGAAAGGGCAAGATTAGACGAAGATCAGTTCCCTTCCCCCACAATAACTACACTTCATAACATATACATACCATATTAGCAATTCTGCCTTGCGCCCCGCCTCGCCTCATTTCGAGACAGACCGACCTTTCTCCATACTTCGTTGCTTATTGATTAGATTGACTGACCACCAAACAAACTGACCTTAGGCATGAAATATCGTCTCACCTCACTCAATACCGAGATACCCGACATACGCGTAGCCATGATTCACGGCGTCCTCCTCACTCCGTGGTTTAGAGCGGAGCGGCCTGAGCGGACGTGCGCGTACATACATAATAGGAAAGCCTTAAACAGCTGTCGTGGAACCTTGGCGTCGCCGAGGTAGGCGATCGAGATTTAGAGTAAGGCGTACTCACTCACTCACTCACTCGCTTCACTGATTGCCTTGTTCTGGTAACGATAACATGTTCGGTTTGGGGGTGATTAGAACCACATTAATGAGGCATACGTGGAACATGTAGGTGGACATTCGCTCAGATAGTGTCACACTATAATCTCGGAGAGAGGAAAGCACTATCTACATAGTATTGACCTGTAAGATGGTTAAACAGGGCTCCTTGCGCAATAAGAAGAGACGTTTTGCGCCCCATGAAATCGCGACAAACGTAAGATATGTGATTCTCATCGATTTCCTTCGCCTTCTATACCTTAACCAAAGCTTAGTTGCTGCGAACTCCGAAAAGTGACAATAGAGCTGGTATATAGCAGGTGGTAGGAGGGTTAGGTTAGCATAACCGTTTATCTACAGCAAAGGTCTACTTATCACATAATATGCAACGGTGTCTAGAGGAGAGAAATAGGTACTACGATGAACATAGGGGCCAAGACCCATATGTACCTTGCCACGACATTCAAATTCTCACCATCCGCAACTTGCTTTTTTTATCCTCACCCAACACAAACACCAGGCACCTATTGAATATAACCAGCAGCGATGAACCTACAGTCTGATGCCGCCCCTAGAAATCAAAACCAACTTTTGAGGACCAAAGAAGAGATGAGGAAACCATTTTGGCAAGACAAGAACATCATAGGCTCTAGTGGTATCCGCCCTATCCAAGACGCCGTTACATAACCCGCTACCCAACCCCTGCTTTTTGTTGATCCTGAACCCAAATTTTGTATATACACGAGGACAACATGGCTTATTTATGCTGTGTTTGTGAATTTTCCGAATTTGATTGATATGATGCCCACTTCGAGAAGTTAAGACTCTCGACTAACAAATCCGCTACTGTAGACGGCAAGGTCTCTGTATTTTCTGTAGCTGCTGTCGAGAGCATTGATGAGCGGTGTGAGTTCTGCTCGCTCGAATTAGTGAAGAATGTGGCGACTGAAGTCGCTACTGAAGACCTTCTGAGATTGTCGCGGACCGTGCCCCCTGATCGAGAAACATCTAGCTGCGCTCCGATCCCGGAGGTTGCTACATTGCTATGGCTTTGAAGAGGTGAAGGTGTTGGGGGTCCAAGAGGAACCTTTCGGCCATACTTTTCGCGCAACTGATTGATACTCCTCAGTCGATTGCCCCAAGAAGAAAGGTGCTCCCCGCCTTCGCGATTGGCCCAGACCTGAGAGAAGAACGATGCATTGAGTGCGAGCAGTCTGATAAAAATGGGCAATGCCTTAAGGCTAACAATTTTAGTCTCCGAAGCTGGTGATATCTCAGGAAAACCAGGCCGGCTCATGAGTTGAACTTTATAAAAAGAATCCTCGACATCCTTCGGTGTCCTCTGTCTAGTAGCGACGAATGACGCCCGAGATTCCGGGGTAATGACGATGTTGACATAGTTAAACTCTGAAGGAAATGTGTCAAATCTGAAAGGAAGTCCTGAATCATTGAAGATGATGTTAACAAAGTCGTTGCCAATATGCCGCTTCTTCGAAGTGCAATGGGGGTCGTTCTCCAGATCTGTGGGCATTTGAGTCGTGACATGAAATACAAGTTCCGTAACACGGTCTCTCCAACAATAGGTATACTCCCCATCAGTACCATACTGCCTGTCGAGACCCTGTAGATTGAAAGTTGCGCCTTTCAGCTTCGTTAGGATTCCAAGACCATTCAAGAACTCCACATACTCGCTGCTACCAGAAACGTTTGCCAGTATCTCGGTCTCATCCACTTGGTTTTCGCCTATATAGACGACCCCAACTTTGTGTCCATCCACCGTTGAATTACGGTCGAACACCCTGATGGCCATGTCAACAGCTTCACCGTCGGGAAGTGGAATCGGCTTGCTCATAGTGTTATATTGCGGCATTGGTGACAGAAGCTGTACAAGCAAGTGGTTCGGTAGCACAGAGTTTGTGGAGCCTGTGGTACTGTCTCGAGCACTATCGTCGACAGGCTGCTGGTGTGCAGGGGGTGGACGAAATGACTCGCAAATTGTGAATGATGAGGTACCCGACGGCTGTCTTTTCGTGATCTGAGCCCAGCCTGAAGTTACAGCTTGTTCAACAGTGACGATGCTATTGCCAATCAACCATCTCTTCTTGATGATTTTGCCAAAAAGATCAGCATTGAATAGAGGGTCTGCAGTAGACTCATCAACGTCAGCATATGTCACCCTCTGCATGAAGTCAATGGATGTCTGAGCCTGTTCATCGATAACTTGGGAACCATCAACGTCTGTAAACAGATGTTTCGCAATCCACGGAACATGGTTTGCACGATCTTCAAGTTTCACCGCTAAAAACCAAAATATTATAACATGATACGCTAGAGTGTAGACGTATTGAGGAAGGTCATCAGATGCATTTGGATGTGAAGGATTATCAGCCGGAAGGAACTGTTTTCCGAAGTGCGTAGCATCGCCAACAGAACTCGGCCTGTAGCTTTGTTTTTTGCCTCTAACAAATTGCAGATAGCGGACAGAAATACCGAATATGATTCGGTAATCCTCTTCGCGAAAGTTTACGTATAAGGATGGTAGCCTACTAAGGCTGGCCAAGAATTCGAGAATGTGCATTGCCACATATGGCTGCGTGATGATTTGAGCCATTCGCTGTAGTATAGGGATCAAGGCTTTGCCCGCGGATGAGGGAAGTTCATGACAACAGATTGTGAGCGCATGTATGCAGCACTTTGCACTACGCTCCCATGTTGTTATAGCCTGTACAAAGGTCCATACAATTTCATCTTCTTCTGACTTTTTGAAATGTCGATGATAGCTCAGTATCATCGTAAGGGCGTGAAGGAGACAGATTGCAATATCAGCTTTGCGCAATCCAGAAGCGCTTGGAGGTTCCTGTAAGATGCCCTGTCTGATCTGTTCACAGACCACCCTCCGCAGTTCTTGCAGCTGGGGTACAGCGCTGTTAAAAACAGCGTGGTTGCTTAGCTGCGAAGGGAGATGTACAAGAATGAAACAGTATACTTCCCAGTCGCAGCCACTTTGTATTAGGTGTAAAATTGTCTCGAGCCATAGTCCCACAGGTAGAAGGGCCTCACCGCCCTCCGAAGTGGCCTCCATTGAAGTGTCACGGACGCTGGAATAAAGTATACGACTAGCGACTGTAGATGGCGCTTCTGGCAGCGCGTCCGAGTCAGAGGCAACCCATAAGGATTGGTATGTAGCGCCTGCTGCTTTTGTTCCACTCGCTCGGAGTGGAGGAGTTCGGTCCGGCAGCTGTGTTTGGGAGAAAGACACACCCCGGACAATCCTAGCAGAGCCGCCAGCCTCTGATCTCGACAGCCTGGCTTGCGGCGATGCCTCTTCGGACAATTTACGCGCTATGGCTGCTTCTGTGCGACACAGTGCTGTCGCTAAACTATTGCTTTCTGTATATGTAGTGACGAAGATTCGATTCGCCCAATCAGCTCTTACGCGAAATAAGAGTTTCATTGCGGTGAGACGAGCATCGGTTTCGTTGTTTGACTTCGCTACCGAAACAAGTGTGTTGAACAGACGGATTGCTTTAGCAGTATCCGTATTCATAATACGAAGGAAGATTTGTACGAAGCCTCTTGTGACAACATTTGCCGGCGTCTGAGGCACTGATATTCTAGGGGTTGGTGGAAATGGGGCGGCAGAGTTTTGTGAGGGCGAGAAGACGACTGGTCGGGAGCGATTACTACCAATAATGCTGCGTAAGGTGTCTGCAATATAACAGAACCCTGGAAAGCTTATAGTAGTTGCAACCGATGCGGCAAATGACACTATCTCTTGCAAGACAGAAATATCAGCCTCCTCATCTATCCCCGTGAGCAAACGCTTCACGAGGTTTAAAACAAAGTCTGGCTCTAACTCCTGACTCATAAGCTCAACCATGTCATAGACCTCGGTGATCACGCGCAAAGCTCGCAGCCTTACATCTGTAGAGCGCTTCCTATCTTTAAAGAAGGCATCTAAAACCATGTCTAGATTCATTTTCCACTGTGCATCCGAAGGGAAACAACAACGGAACTCCTTGAAATAATCCAGAATCAGGGTGCTCGCCGAGTCCGGGACTACTAGGTGGATCTTGGTGAAGAACAAGACACAGTCTTGCCGTTGAATTAAAGGGCCTTGTTGAGTATTGATGATGTTCTCGATTCGGGAAACTAGCACCAGCAGTTCCCTGATTAGCGCTGCTTCAGTGTGATCGCTATCTTCCTGGGACAACGGAGAACCAACAGCTTGGCTAGATTTTGCCAAAAGAGTAACAGCCCCCGCAGAACAGGCGACGGCAACGTCGAAGATCAGTGACCAGTCTTCATCTACAACCATAGTGTTGATATTACCGTGGCTATCACGAAACAACGCATTCGCTAGTTTCAGAATGTCCAGATAAATCTTCCAGCTTGATGTGGCCTCCACGACGTTAGACAAGCCGCTCATTAGGATATCATAAGGTATAGGTGGGTAACCTTTCTCAGAACTTTTTATCACAAGCTTCTGGAGGACTGAGAGAACACCTCGAATGTGGCGTGTATCATTCTTCTTGCCTTCAGTAGCTCCAACATCAGTCAGAGTATCAAGCAGCACTCTCACGGTTGCTTGACCATTGTGCGACCGACACAGAATGCTAATAGTATGCCATGCATCCTTCTGAGCATCCGGTACCAAGCAGTGTATAGCAGAAAGGACTCGAACACATTGCTTGAGCTTGTTTCCGGGAAATACCCCAAATGTGATGATGGCATTTAAGATGCCACTGGATGCTCGCATATCATCGGCAGTGCTTGTGAATTGACATATATCCAACAAGCTATCTACCAAAGCTTCCGCTGCCCCGTCATCGGCAAGAACGGAATTAAACTTGATGGCATCCGCTACAAAGGAGAAGAGGTCTGCAAAATCTTGGCTCTCCTTCGTGACAATTGATTTGTTCTTTGAGCGTGAGCCTTTCTTCTTCGCTGTAGATCTGGCAGAGCGCACCATATGAAAGCTTGAATGTAGCCATGATGACAATAATGGAAATAGGTCATAATCAAATCCCGAGATATCTCGGCCGTGGCTGGATAGATTGTCCAGCGCAGTGAGTTGTAGGTGAAAATCATCTGGACTTGCAAGAGCTGAAATAGTCTGGAAATACTCTTTTCGTTCCAAGTCGGACGAAGACGGATGCTTCACACACTCGGCTAAGAGCTCCCACCCCGTGACACGAGTAGCTTTGGGATTGGTTGGATCAATAAGATCTTTTGCAGCATGCCAAATACCCAGCACCGGATTGTAAGGATGTTTAGACACCATCGTGCGCAGTGCGTTGGCCGCGGCCACTCGTTCATTAATTGTTCCATCCTTCAGTTGCTCGAATGATGCGATGTACTGAAGTGGTAGAGCGTGCACAGTGGGTGCAGAGCTTAGTTGATCGGCGATTTCGGCGTGGATTGTGGAAGGGCCCGAGGATTGAGCAGTGATTGGTGAGGACTTGGTCAGCTTGGCAGCACCCGCAAGACCTTTGAAGACGCTCGCAAGACCGCTAGCTTTTGAATCTTGAGGTGGCGGATGCCTATCGCCGGGAGACGGGGACATTTCTCGTTCTTCGACAAAGTACTACGCAGTTGGCGGCTAACTGGGAGACACTTCTGAAGCATGGCATCAGCTATAGGAGCTTCAACGTGAAGAAGGAAACGAGAGCCACGACATATGTGCAGCAATAACTGCGCAAAGTAGGAGTAATAGTAGACAAGATAAAAATGATGAACGTACAGGCAGAGGAACTACCGGGTGCAAATAGAAGCCATTCAACACAGCGTCGATACACTAATCAAGCATTTGCGAGTACAGAGAAGATGGTGGAGTTTTGCGCGCTGTATTCGAAGTGGGATTCGGGAGTGCCAAACCCCACTCCCCAATCTGGTATGAAGTTGCTTGTCTGACTATATGGTCCCAAAATTTTGCCCTTATATCCTTCACTTCGAGATCTCCAAGATAGTGGTGATACGGTGGGGTTTATCTCAAGATTCGCTGGGAAAGATATGGTAGGCGGGTATCAGGGGCGCACATTGGGAGACGGAAAAAAGGACGTGACGAAAATCTGCAAGTTCATGAGGAGAGACGAGAACGCAGAGCTGGCAGTACTTCGGAAGCGGCTCGAGTTTTTGTTTCGATAGGATCTAGACGTTGGACGCAGGCGGAAAAAGCACGGGGGAAAAATGAATGAGATGAAGTTGAGATCGAAATCCTGGTAGAGCTAAATGCTGTAGAAGATAGCGGATGGCTTGATGTGGATGAACCCACATCTCCACAACTAGTTGCCCTTTTAGTGACCATGCAGCAGCACCATCTTAGGTACATAATACCTATAAAAAGGCTTGCCCTTACTTCAAGTACCTAGGTACCTACACATACATGTACTATGTAAGGGTACCTCATCCACCGCCGACCGGGTAGGCATGCCCAAGCTATCCCCTATATGCACACCTTGAATAAGTACCTAGATACCTACACCATCGAGATCACGTAGGTACATACTAATGTATTTCAAGCTCTTTCTTGCTCTTCTACACCATTTCAGTACAATCAAGGGTAAGAAATGCTTTGGGGAAACTGGCCATCTGTTGCCTTTATCGTGTTGAAATTCAAGATCGAAACAGCGGAGAGCAAAGGCTCTTGTGTTAGGTAAGATCAACTATCTACCTACCTATCTACTTGAGATGTCTCACTTAAATATTGCCCGGCCTCTGTATGCCCCGGCCATTTATTCACCTTGCACCTTGTACGTACCTTCTTAAGTACTTAGCACAGTACTTACTTAAGTACCTAGGTAGATTGATCTAGGTACTTAAGCTACCTAGCCCTGTCATCTGTACCCCATACCAAGTCATGCTAAGAATAATACCTACCCATGAAGATCTTTGCGCCGTTGGCATCTCCGACAAAACAGGGCCTGGTACAAGCTACATTAATGATGGTAAATTTTTCTACTATAAATGTATATGCAAGGGACAAGTTGAGTGAAAAATTCGAAAGTCTCCTACCTAAGCAGTACATCATGTGACGTTACGCATCAAGTACCTGCTTCCATCAATAGGTATTGCTTCATCCCATGCTTTGATCTACCTACCAATGACGGGACCTGTGTCCATGCGTCCCATCTAACTTACCTAACTATATCTGTCAAACTGTCAAGCTAATATTGGTTTTCTCCCGTAAATGCTTACTACTAGTACCGTAGAGACACAGTTACATGCTTAATTTAATTTGTTATATTACGGAATTACAGGATATATGTACAGTAGGGCACATTACATGTACCGAGCTGCCCCTCAGTCTACCAGAGATTAGGTCGCAACAGCGGGGTTACTGTACCTATTGAGTACCCCACCTAACTTACCTAGGGCACCTACCTACCTATACAAACCTATTTAGATTAGCGTATGCCACCTAGCCCGATGTAGGTACCTATAGTGCGCTATAGTGCGCTATGCACTTCCTAGGGTCCCTCTAGGTAGGCATGGCGTTGCCTAGAGCCTTCTCTCATGTCAATAAAAAGTTGATAGCTGCAACATCATCTCTCAAACAAAACATCAAACCACGTACCTAGGCAGGCGACTCTTTTTGCGCCGTCTCAACCTACGACAGCACCCATCTTCACCCTCCCACTTTGCTGTCTCTCTTGTCTTCTCGGCACAAGGTAGTCAACATGGCTTCAGATATCAGCCAGATTGCCCAACTGCTGGATGCAACGCTGGACCCCGTCCAGCACAAAAAAGGTACCACACGAACGCAGTTCTACCCCGCCGCCTTCGCTCATCGCCTGTCTTTCTATCGCCTACCACAACTCCCAGTCTGGCCGTGATTATTAATTGTCCTTGCAGCCGAAAATCTCCTCAAGGCTGAGGAAAAGAAGCCTCAATTTTCCTTACAGCTTCTCAAAATTGTCGCTACCGAATCTTTCGAACCGAAAACCCGTCTTGCTGGCGCCCTCTGCTTCAAGAACTTCATCCGACACAACTATGTTGTACGTTAGCTACTGTCACCTGTCACCCTTTACTGCAAACACTATGTGGTGATCGCTAACGATGGTGCTGCGCAGGACGAAGATCGTAACTACAAGCTACCCCTTAACGAGGTCAATACGATAAAACAGGAGCTTATTGGGCTCATGATCGCATGTCCCGCTACCATTCAGACACAGCTAGGAGAAGCTATCAGCATAGTGGCAGACTCCGACTTCTGGGATCGATGGGATACCCTAGTACAGGTACTGTGGCTACTTCCCCTACCGAAGATTTTAGATTGTCTCTCTGACATGATTACCTTGATAGGATCTTGTCTCTCGGTTTACTCCCGACAACTACAAGGTCAACAACGGAGTGCTGGAGGTTGCTCATTCCATCTTCGTAAGATGGAGGCCATTGTACCGATCAGATGCCTTGTACACAGAGATCAACCACGTGCTGGGCACATTCGCAGTACCATTTCTCAATCTACTCAGTGTGAGTGTGCCTTAGTTCACGTATTTTCAATCAGACGTTAATCCCCGACACGGGTAGGCAACGGACCAGCAGATCAACGCGAACCAGAATAACAAAGAAGCCCTTAAAGGTTACTTCGACACAATGAGCCTATTGATCAAGGTGTTTTATGATTTGTCATGCCAAGAAATGCCACCTCAGTTTGAATCTAACCTAGAGGATATTTCGACGCTCCTTCACAAGTATCTTGAGTACGACAACCCGATACTAGCAACCGATGAAGACTCGGAAGTGGGCATCATTGAAACTGTGAAAGCCGATATCTGCGAGGCGCTGCAGCTCTACGTTCAGAAATACGACGATGACTTCGGTCGGTACACCCAAGTCTTCATCTCCAAAGCCTGGAACCTACTCTCCAATATCGGGCCCGAAACCAAGTATGACAACTTGGTTAGCAAGGCTCTTCACTTCTTGACGGCTATTGCTGGAACTGCGCAGCATTCAGGTGCTTTCAATGATGAGGCTGTTCTCAGCCAGGTGGTGGAGAAAGTGGTTCTTCCTAACGTGGCACTTCGAGAGTCGGATATAGAATTATTTGAGGACGAGCCCATTGAGTTCATCCGCCGCGATCTCGAAGGGTCGGACACAGACTCCCGACGGCGAGCTGCGACAGACTTTTTACGCCAGCTTCAGGGCAAATTCGAACAATTAGTCACATCTGTGACCGGAAGATACATCAACCATTATCTAGAGCAAGGCAAGTCGAACTGGAAGGACAAGGACACCGCGATATCACTTTTCTTGTCGATTGCGGCCAAAGGTGCTGTCACAGCATCACATGGTGTGAAGACAGTCAATGAATTGCTCAACGTAGTCGATTTCTTCCAGCAGCATGTCGCGAACGATCTGATTGGTGACGGTGATGTTGAGCCCATTGCGAAAGTTGATGCGATCAAATACCTATACACCTTCCGAAGCCAATTGACTAAAGAGCAATGGCAGGCTGCTTTTCAACCCCTTATACAAAATTTAGGCTCTTCCAATTATGTGGTATACACATATGCAGCTATTGCTGTTGAGAGGTTGTTATACCTCACAGATAGCTCTGGCACTCGCATCTTCGGCAGGGCTGACATTGAACCATTCGCGAAGGACCTGCTTGAACATCTGTTCAAGCTCGTCGAGAAGGAAAGTTCACCCGCAAAGATGCAAGAAAACGAGTTTCTTATGCGTTGTATTATGCGAGTCCTTATAGTCATGAATACGGGCATCCTCAACTTTGATGATATGGTTCTTGATCACCTAATATCGATCACCAACGTTATCAAGGCAAACCCGAGCAATCCTCGATTCTACTATTATCATTTTGAGGCATTAGGTGCCGTTGTCAGGTATTATTTTAAATATTCCTCGCATTTCCATTTTAGACCTCGCTAAACAACTGTAGCTGCGACTCACCCTCTGGAACCTCGAAGTTGGAGGAGCGCCTGTGGGAACCTTTGAACCTGATAATTACAGAGGATGTGAACGGTGAGACGAAATAATGCATTTGCGTAGTATATCGCTGACATATTGCCAGAGTTCATGCCTTACGTATTCCAGCTTTTCGCCAAATTGTTAGAGCTGAACCCATCAGGGGCACTGCCTAACCACTACCAGGCTCTCGTTCCCCCATTGATGTTACCTGCTACTTGGGAAACCAGGGGCAATGTTCCTGCACTCACCAGATTATTAGTAGCCATAATACCCAGAGCCACACAATATATTGTAGCCGAGAACCAGGTTCAGCCTATCTTAGGCATATTTCAGGGCCTTCTGAGAGGCAAGAAGACTGAACAAAATGCGTTTGATCTCCTGGAAGCCGTCGCATTGTCGATACCAAGGTATGTCAAATGCCAGTCATTCCACCAATGGGCGATAATTAATGTATCACAGTGCTACATTGGAGCCATTCTTCAAGAGCATCTTGGAGCTCCTCTTCACCAAGCTCCAATCTAATCCATCAGATTCGTTCAAACTACGGTTTGTACGATTCTACCACCTTATATCAGCCAAACCAGAAGCTGGTCTTGGAGCTGATTTCTTCGTCAGTCAAGTCGATCTTGTGCAAAATAACCTGTTCACACAAATTTATTTGACCATTATCTTACCGACATCGGGACAACTTGTGCGCCCGGTAGACCGGAAAGTAGCCGTAATTTCCTTCGCGAAATCGATGGGAGACAGCAGCGCCTTCGCGCAGCGATATCAGAAAGGCTGGCGATTCACATGTGAGGCCATGCTCAACATGCTTATGAACCCCCCCAAGGTGACTATGGGTGCTGGTGACGAGGTTGTCAACGAGGCTGATGTTGACGATATCGGTTTCGGCTTGGGCTTTACAGCCCTCAACACGTGCAAAAAGGCGGCACGTGACGACTTCCCCGAGGTCCAGGATATACAGCAGTGGGTGCGTCAATACCTCATGGACGCTAACACTAGGCATAATGGTGCTATTGCGAGCTATATGGATCGCCTAACAGACGAGGGCAAGCAGGCTTTGGCTATGTATGTGTCTTAAGTGACGCGTATTCCCAAGGCATAGGGCTAGTGGAGTACCTGCAAAATCTTCTAAAAGGGTGTGTAATCATTGATGACAAACTATACGGGGATAGTAAGAGCATAGGTCCTTGAAGCGGCTGTTAGTGGTTTCCAAAATGATAGCTTTCAGCTCAGACTTCACACTACAATAGTCCACATAAGAAACGCCATGTTCGTTCAGAATATACGTTAATGTCATAGACAGTCGTGAGGTGGATCTCGCGAATAGTTGCGATATTTCTAAGATGTAGTTCGACTCTCAGGTCGTAGTTGTGAATCATTCTCTATTGGGGTATCATATAATTAATTTCATCGCTTTGTTTATTCTCCTTTGCCGGTGATCATGAATCGTGCATTCCTGGGATCACCAATGCGTCTTCCTTTCCCATGTCATCATCGCCTGCTCAGACATTAACCTACTACTTGGATGTCTGCTTGAGTTTCGACCCTCTGGCCGTCCGCATCGGTGTGCCCTGCCCGAATGGCGTGCGGGGCGTGACGCTAGCCGAACTCCCGATCTTGCTCCACAATCGCTGGGCAGCGGGCGTCAGGCCGCCGGCCGCGACCCGCGGACTACTCGGGAATTTCGGGACGGGGGTCTTGTCCACCTTGCCCGTGGCACCGAGCTTGGATGAAGTGCGCTTCGACTGCGATATGCGGTCGACCATGTGGTGGTGTAGGGCCTCTCGACGGCTCTGCTCCTTGATCACGAACGGGTTCGGCGTCGCGTCGCCGGGGCCGAGACTAATCTCCGGCACAGTGGGAGCGCGGGGGACTTCATATTCGGGTTCTTCGTCATCAACAAACGCGTAGCCGTTCACCCGGGGTGTCTCGCTGCCTGCGACTGTGGAGGTGGCTTCGCTGTCCGGTCGCCGCCGGCCGGCGATGGCGTCGCGGACCGCAGAGAGCGAGGGAGAGGGAGGGATCGACGCCTCCTCGCTGATTGGGTGCGGCGGAAGACGTGTGTTCTGGTAGTTCACTGCTTTTGGCGGAGCGCGTGATGCCGCCTCGGCTACCTGGATCTGCGTCTCCACGTCATCACCGACGCCATCCGGCGCGAACATAAGGGTGTTGTTGGGCTGCGACTTCCATGTATCGGGCTGCGACGGCCGAGCATCTTTATCCTTGATGGCGAGTCTATCCCTCCTGAAACCGTCGTCTTCTAGACTCCGTCCCGACTCCAGCAGCTTCGTCTCCACCCGCTTCTGCGCCAGCTGCATCTTCGAAGGCAGCTTATTCCCGGCCCAGAGCCATGCGTATTTCTCGGCGCGTTTCGAGTTCTGCTTGTCTAACAGCTTGTAGAAGCTCTCGTTGTCCTCACTCGTGTATTTCGACTGGAATGCACTGAGGCTCATGTTGGTATCAATCTCCGGCTTCTCGTCGTCATCTTGTCGCAGGGCGGCGCTCGACACTGCGGACACGGAGACCGGGGTATCGCCTGCGAATCCGCGGGGTGTCTGGGCGCCTGGTGCCAGCGACGTGCCCCTCCTCGCTCGCTTGCGGCCTGGCGTCATCACATGTTGAAGACGTCGGCTGGCACTCGATATCCACTCGGGATCTTTTGAATCCAGCGCATCGAGATACTCCTGCTGCGTTTCGCTTTCTAGTAGGCCTGGGAAGAAGTCCCGGGCTATGATTTGAGATAGTGCGTCTGTGTAGCTATCCTCGTCGATGACTCTCTTCGGCCGCTTGATCCGTTTTGGTGGTGGTGGCGGTGGCATTAGCTCGAGGTCATCCCTCTTGCGGACAAGGGCGGTAGAGGTGTTTTCGCTAGGCTCCATTATTGTTATGATAAAGGTGAGCGGATCGTTTTTGCAGAGTTGGATAAACAGCCAGACAGAGAGAGTGCGAACAATGATGATTGGATTCGGCATGAGATATGTCGACAGTAACAGGCCGGGGTAGGGGTGGCTGTTATCGATAACAGCTCGCAACCTAGGTAACATTACGAACCAGGTACCCACATCTACTTACATATGAAGTAGGAGAGAGGTGCATACCTAGCTTCCATCCATGTTACCGACTACCTAGGTACATATGTATGTAGGGACTAGGTAGTATCTACTTGATGTCAGGTCTTTTGAGGCAATGCAAGAAGACGAGATATCACTGTTACTTATGTTCATATGCAGAGATTCTGAGGGCGTGGGGGATGCTAGCGCAATACTGAACGCAAAGAGGAGCACGGTATGGAGTCATGCAAATTATGTTGGCTCTGCTTACGACTTGGCAATGGACCAGACATCTTGCTAGCCATAGAATGGTCTTAATAACAGTCTTCTACGTATAGACTCATGTTGATTTTGTCCCTAAATTATTCGCTTCCTGAGAGTGGTCTTGTCTTGACTCAGCCAGCCAACTAGATTCCTTCCCGCTGCCAAGACATCCGTCTCGACTTTCCTTGCAATCGGCTCGCCTTTCCCCCCTCTGCCCCTCATATCCAGACGAAGGAGAACCAATCAGCATCGTTAGCGCGCCTCCCCACAAACGACTTCATCGTGTCAGTCTTAGGTTGCCGTACTTCTGTGTCTCCATATTAGGTTTGTCAACCTCGAGCTCAGTGTATCAGAAGATATCCTAGTGTCCACGCTCAAAGTACCTTTCTATATATCAAAACCTCCATATGGATTTATAATGTTAACACTCTTACAAATCAGATGAGATCTTTTCCTACTTCAGCATGTAGGTGGATAGGCTGGAGCATGCACTCCGATGGAGACGTCCTTGAGAATAAAATGTATATAGGTCGACGATGTTGAGTTTATAGAATAGAGAAAACATCCAGCAGTTACCTTTAGACTCAAGGAGACTTATTAAATACTTTCGTTACTCTTCCTACTAGCGTCCCGAAATAACTATCGCGAGAATGGCGACGAAATCTGTTGCTCTCATCACTATGAGCCTGCGTCCCGCTCGGATCGGAGCAAATGTCGCTGCCTTCGTCCAGCCGATCTTTCAAAAGGCGTTCTCGGCGGGCAACGTGGATTTAGCTCCAGTCGATCTGCGAGACTTCAACTTGCCCATTTTCAATGAGAATGTGGTTCCCGCAAGTGAGTTGCCTGTTCCTGAATGTATCCCTGCTATTGAGAAAAGGGGGGATACGAAGGCAAATTCCCAAGTACTGCACAGAGCCAACTGAACAAGAAGCGATCAACTACATGTCTCGTGGTTTTTACCGTCGTAATTAAAGGATAAATTGGAAGAAGCCCGACTAACCGTATGGATAGTGGTTCCCGCTTTCGCACAATTCGAGCACGAGCACTCCAGGGCTTGGAGCGCTGAGATCGCGAAACATGATGGATACGTGATCGTCATTCCTGAGTACAACTATGGCTGTATGTTGTAATCCCGCAATGATGTGTATACCTTCATTCACCTCGTCCCTGGTTATACTAATACAATCTACATCACGCAGTGGCCGGTGGCACCAAGAACGCAATCGACTACCTCCTCAACGAGTGGAAAGGCAAACCACTGGTAGTCGTGAGCTACGGCGCTCATGGTGGTTCCAAGGCCAGCGAACAGGCCAAGGATATTCTAGGCGGTCTCGGTTTGCGCATCGCCGAGACACGCCCTCAGCTGGCCTTCGCGGATCCTCATGGAGAGATGGCCGGCATCTTGGCCGAGGGCAAAGTGGCGGATGCATCCCGAGCGAAATGGGAGGGCCAGACTGATCAGATTATCAAGGCGGCCGAAGAATTGAAAGAGCTCCTGCTTCAGCCCAACGACCCAGCCAATGCGCCGACGGCGTAGGTGATGGCAGGTTGTGTGAAACCAGTGGTTTCAGTATACAGTGCAAGAGCTGTCTATATCATGTTATAAGGTCTAATTTATTTTATACTGGTAAAAGTAGTTAGAAATTGAGAATATATTCTTTCAGCTTAATTATATTTCACTATACGTCGACCCTCAAGAGGCAGATGACCACCCAACCTCCCGGTTCCTTCAATCATATAGAAATATCTGCATGCCTCGTATGGAGTTCCAATAATTCTGAACGCTTATTACAAGAATTGGTTCAAGTATAAATCTCAATCCAGCTACAGAGTTCTCTACAGCTTGGTAAGATCTTGAAAGAGAACGTTACAGGTTACGCTGAAAGCTAGTTTACTACGTCGTTCCATAGCTCCTTTTTGGGGCTTGAGGTGGAAGCTGAGTTATGACCTGCTGTACATTGCATAAAGTGATTCACCTCTGGGACTGGTCTGTCATCGTAGACGGAATAATCGATACCTATGCACTTCTAGATTAGCCTCTACCTGAATACTGAGCCAATTGATACAACACGAACCTCATAGATTACTTAAGAGATGAGACATCATCGGTTGAGTAACATATACTCACTGGCCACAGAGACCAGGGCTGAAGCTTCGGTTCAAGACCACTTTGGAGCCGATGACCAGGATATGGTCATAGATGCGGATATTTCCTTAGCTGAAATCCGCCTTGCATTCTATTGCAAGGTCTCATATGTGTATTGCTCGTATGCATTATGTTCATAATTTATGCATCTATGTCGCAGATATTGGAGTCTCAGCTAACCAGTCCTCGACACGGCTGCTAACTATCAATAGATTAATCCATGTTGCATGCTTTGAGGAACACCTGTTATCCTCCCTCAACTTGAATTATGAGGTCAAATATCCTCAGTCTCAATGACCCGATGCTGAGTTTCGGGGGGAAGTTAAGAAAATCAATGGTCCTCTCGATTTAATTTTGGCGTAGTCATAGAGCCCCGTTCGTCTTGACAAGGGTCCGGCTGAACTAAATGTGTTTGGTCTTATTACGATAGTGTACTTCTCGAGAATCTAGGGGCTGTTTGAAGTACTGTTAGGCTATACCTCATCCGCCTTCTCGGCATATATTTTCGACATCATAGTTCTCCCGCACTAGTTGTTGCTTTGAATCCCGAAGAGGTGAGTAACCATAAATAGAATCAAGCATACGAAAACGCCCCAGGTTAAGCAAATTCCGACGCTCAACGAGAGTACTACAGTATGCCATGGTGATCGTATTTCTAGAGCATAGTGCTATGACAAGTAAAACTAGAAAAGCGTTGCACGCTGCCATGGGCTAGGCATGAGACCCTGTTAAGTTCGCAAGCGACTTTGACCTTCAGGCTGTATACTGGTCGCATCACATATTGTAGCCTTCTCCAATTACAAAGACATTAGATCCAATCGGAAGGTCTCAACCTCTTCAATTAATGGAAGCAGGCCCGGGATAGGCTCGCCAAGGTGGCAGTGGTATGTCGCCTGTGGTACAGGTTTTCTTCCCTGGTGGGCTTACACACGAATCAGGGTGTCCGGGGACAATGCGCCTTTTCGTTTGCTTACTCGATAAACTTGATAATCGATTAAATGTCACCTAGAATTGATCTAGAGACGTGTTAGCATCCAACAAGACATGTGTCTGCTTGTCAATGTTCGCTCGACCGGGTGAGCGGTGATACGAGACCAAAGTTCGTTAAGAAAAGACAAGTATGCATCCTTACCTAGAGTCATGCTCATGCTCACGTCGGTGTTCTCGACCATCTTTGTGAACTCCTCAAAACTGATCTTCCCATCCTTGTCCAGATCGGCTTCCATGATTGTTTTATCCACGATTTGCTGCAGCTGTTGGTCCTTTAAGTTGCTACCAACCATCATCTTGAGGACAATAAATAACTCTCCGTTGCTGATGTAACCATCCCGGTCGATGTCATAGACTTTGAAGGCGAATTGTAGCTTTTGTTCCTTGTTACCCTTGCTACTGAAGGCACTGAGACCGGAGACAAATTCTTGGAAGTCTACGTCGCCGCCACCGTCCTCATCAAATATAGCTATTAGTCTGTTGAGAATAGAGTTGTATTAGCTGGTGTATATTCGGCGCATGTACAGAGTGTGCCCGAAGGAATGATTGCTGGCACTGAGTCATGAAAATAAAGGTTCGGAATTTGTACCTCGTCGCAAGCGGATTTGATGATATTTGTGGTAGCATTAGGAACTCGTCACGCTCGATTGTGCCATTCTGATCCTAATTCGAGAAAAAGTCGTCTCAGCACCCATCTTAATTCGTAGCATAGTGGGGTTTATGTCTTACTTTGTCAAGCTTCATAAACCTCTTCTTTAGTCGTTCTACTTCTTCGCGATCGACTGCAGACATTCCCATTAGCGTTCGTCGTGAGACAAAGTTCAGGACCTGCACTCACAATTGGTTCCTTGGACAATGTTGTCCAGAGTACTGGCGTTGTTGCCCATGTTGTTATCTCTCTCGGCCTCAAAGAGGTCACACGATCAGAGAGCTGGTTCTCCGGTGTTGAGGTGAGCAGTAAATTCTCAGGCCGATGACAGATAAATATAAAGAATTTCTAGCCAAAGAAGCTGGTTTCGGGTCTTAGCTTTAGTCTTAAGCTCGGATTTGGATAATTCTGGTGTTGTATGATGGTAAGGCTGAGTGGGTTGGAGGGTCTTGGGGGAAATCGTGGGGCAGCTTAGATGCCCGCTCTCAGCGCTTCTCCCTAAGTACTCCGTACCTACTTAATCTAGGCAGCCAAAGCATAGCTACCTAGGTACCTAACCTACCTTAGGCACATTGACGCCACAACGCCACAGCATCCTGCGTGAGCCACAAGTCCGAAAGCAACACAGGTAATTAAGGTATAAAGAATTGCCAGGTATATCATGCCATCTAGGTACACGTATATGTATGTATTTTGTCCTGCCTTTTTGTCTTGTTTAAAGTTGAATGACTAATTGGAGCTGGTTGGCCCCTTAGTGCGATTTAGGTAGAGCAAGTATGGAGCCTACCTCAGGGGCTTCGGGCTCTACCGACTGCTGAATACATTTCACATATCATTAGTTTCGTAACAAGAATGATGGCTGCATATTAAACATGCGAAGGAAGCTACCTAGGTATCCAACGAGTCGTATATTTGAAACAAACCAAGCTCAGTCAACATGGCTGTTCAGCAACCTGTCATCGGCTCTTTCTAGCAGCAACTCCTGTCGCCTAGAACTTATTCCTTTTCAAAGTCTCGTACTTAGATGAGTCGTATATACAGGAGTAGGCAAATGCTTATCAATCTTTGGGTTTAAGGATACTCCGCTTGAACCACTCTACCGGGTCAGAGAAACCTTGCAAAATGTATTCGCCAATACTATACTTATTTGACAAGGTAATTGCTTGTTGATGTAAAGTGCATGCGCACCTTATACTGCGTTCAAATACCGATGGCCTTAGCGACTTCGAAAGGATGACATGATGATTTTATATATAAGAGAGATTGATTATTTAAACAGACGCACAAGGAGGTCTAGAATGCCAAAAACTCAGAGCCGTTGAATATCATAACAAGACAATAAAATGTAAGCGTCATTCTTAAGTCGGTGAGACTATAGTACAAAAACAGTATCTACACAGTATGTTACTGCCATAAGCTGTGTTGACCAATGATAATCTTGCATCTGGTGCACTGCCTGAGTTAGTCAACCGATAAGACTTTCCAAGAAAGCCAGATAAGGTGCCATGCCTTCTTAACCCCACCGCAGCGCTTTGATCATGTTGCAGCGATTCCCTAGTTAGGTATCATGTATGCCCCTTTCTCTCGTACAGTATATTAAGAAACATTGCACTGTGCGTGCCATTGTTTACCTCTCTTTAGGCAAGGCCTCCATTCCCGAGGTCCTTTGCCACCACAAACCTTAGGTAGGTAAGTACCTAGGGATGTAGCCACAGGAGGCACCTACCTACATACCTAAGGTAAGTAGGTACCTAGTAATTTGCGCTACCCAGGCTGGGGAAGGCTTGCTTTTTGCCTATTGCTTGCCTACTACCTCCCTAAGCCTGCTGCACTGCATCTGAACCAACCAACCACGCCAACCACTGCACGCTACCTGGGCAGGTACCTACCTAACTACTGCCTACCTAGCCTATCTCCCCCCCTACAATTCACCTCGCCCTCCCCCAAAGAAACGCCCGCACCACCCGACAACAGAGGAGTCCCCCAGCAAAGCCAGCGAAAATTTGCGCCCCAAACCATATCCAACGTCACGTCGTCAACCCGCGATACTTTGGCCATCGAAAAAACCGCCTCAACACCCCTTAATCAATTAAAAAACATCATAGACATTTGTCGCATGACTTGAAATACCCAGCACCCGAATTTTTTCGGGGTTTTTCCCTCTCGGTCCGCATCTTTTCCGCCTCCACCCCTCAAGCCCTCCGCCCGCCTTCCACCATGACCACCAGGAAAGTGCGATACAAGAAACTCAACATCAAAACACCCCTCCCCGTCCTCCGAGAACACCAGATAGATGCCAACGAATACGAATCCCTTACAAACGAAGCACAAATAGTCACTGGCGTCGAGTTAGGTGAAGAAAATGTGAGTATATGCCCTTTCTTTGCCCATTCCAGGCTAAGTCACGTGCATGGTCACGTGATTAGTAGCTTCCGTGCCTCTGCATGTAGTATCATATAAATCACATATATTGTAGAGATGCCCATATCTCTTCTCGCATCAAGCCCTACTTACCATGTATATCTGCTGACACTTGTCTGCGACAATAGGAGTACCATCTTCAGGCCGCCCTTAAGGGTGTCGGCGCTAGCGTGGACAATGAAATCCCCGTCCCCCCACCACAAAAGAGTGTGGAGGCCGATTATGATGAACTATATCCCACGCCATATGTAGAGCCTCGCAATTATATTAAGTTTTCAGATACGGTCGAGGAGACCTTGAAAGGGAGTCTTTATGACATGACCACTGAAGACGACGAGTTTCTTAGACATCACAACTCAAAGAGACCTGCTAGTGCTCACCTATCTGAGGATGATTTCGAGCGTATCATGGAGGTATTTGAGGATACTGCCGCCGAGAGCGCACCGTATGCAGACGTTGACAACACGTTTGTGCCATATGAACTGATGTCTCAAGCGATAACTCATCATATACGAGAAAAGTCTGTCCAGGGCCATGCCAAGGCCATATATGAGTACTGGAGGGGTCGTCGACAGGCTACTGGCAATAAATCTCTTCATCCTTCACTCAAGTTCGAAACACATCAAGAACATGACGATATGGATCCTTATGTCTGCTTCCGAAGACGCGAAGTTAGACAAACAAGGAAGACGAGGGCACGGGATGTGCAAGTTGCCGACAAACTGAAAAAGCTCCGTAGAGAACTGGAAGACGGACGTCAGCTGGTAGTATTCGCTCATCGGCGAGAAGTTCTCAAGCGCGAGTTGCTTAAGACCGATAAACTGGTTTATGAGCAACGAGCCAAGCTGAAGGAAACCAAGATAAAACTTAACATCAAGGCGGACGATGACGACTTAGTTAACACCAAGCCGCAAAAACGTCCCAAGACGGAGGCTCAACAGCCACCGCGTGTTGCCCCTCACAATCAGCTTCGTATCGCTGTTCGTCCGGATGGTGGTCGTTCGATGGAGCCTGTCGAGCTCAGCCTTTTGCGAGATAAGCAGGCTGAAAGACAACTTGAACTTCTTAACAACATTGAGCTCAAGGTCCAGGAGCACCGCCGGTGGAACTCGAATTATATTGACTTGACAGCTGACCCGCTGCCTCCTGTGAAGGAAGAGCAGGAACAGAAATTCAGACCTGCCAAAACAACATATTTAATGACACCTCCAGCCTCTGCGTCAGATTCAATGGAGACTGATGAAACGCCACCAGCTCCCGAAAAATCAATAGCTCCTTTTGTCTTCAAAGCTGCCTCCGTAGAAGATTCGGAAGAAGAAGAAATGCCTTCATTCCGTCGCCGAATCGGTCGCTTAGGTCGTTTATTTATTGACCGGCGCCCTGGCAAGTCGCGAACCGGACTGAGCAGTCCTTCTCGTGAGGACTCGGTTCAAAGCGATCGTTGGAGGTACGACGATGATGACGATGATGACGAGACACCCGTGTATAAGATCGATACGAATAGTTTGCGCCAAATGAAGTTTCGTTCAACTATTCCACCTCCTGCTAGTCTCCTTAGGCGACCGGGCTTGGATATGGCACAGCTTCAAGCTGGCAATCGACCTGCATTGCCACCAGCACAGGCGGCACTTCTACAAGCAGCGCAGGCTCAGGCACAGGCGAAAGCGCAGGCGCTAGCAGCTCAGAGCCCAAGCACACAGGTAAATGCAGCGCAACCTGTAGTAACTCAGCAGGCCTCTGCACAACCCCCGTAGGCCGCACAGGCTGTTTAACCTAGCGCTGTACACTCACAGGCAACTGGATATCAGTCCAGTGTGAGCCAATGTTCATTCGTGAACACCACCATTAGAGGACATGGCTTCATAACCTGCCAGCTTGCAAGATCGGATTCCTGTTTGATACCCCGTTCTGTCGATCGAGCAATGCGAGGGAAGACCAAGTTACGACTGTATATACACCTCATTAATTGTCCGCAAGGCTTACGTCAACAACGCAGCTTTGGCAAGGGCGCACTCACTGTGTAAATATATATAGCCTCAAAGCTACATCCATGGCATGTGTGGTTAACCGATAACGCAACCACCATAGCGCAAAGCCACTAGGGACCTTCAAGCATGTAAAATAAATAAAAAATTTGAATAATCTCTCAAACCAACATTATCCATCTCTCTTGTAGCTCGTAGTGTTTGGAGATCGGTCATTGCGTATGATTGACTGTGCGTATATCAACTGCCATTTAGGCAAAGGGGGATCGTGTTGTCGCTTGGCGGACGCTTTTATGTCCCTGTTCAGATGCCTCAGAATGTCGCACTCTCAGGGGCCGGAAGAAGCGGCGTAAGCCGAGAACCTTCCAGCCGGTTGACCAATCTCGCGCACAATGTACAACAAGTGGGCTAGGAGCGGAAAAACTTGCTGTGAGGAACAAGATAAATTTGAGTCGCAGGATTGAAGTTACCTCTTTTCGCGATTATTGTGGGCTCTGAGCGCTTCTTCGGGGTTCGTAGACATGCTTGCGGCGAACTGGAAGCAGGATGACCTACAGAGTCGGCTGTGGGGCTAACTCTGCAAAGACTTGAGGAGCATGATGTACCCGCGCTACGCATAGAGAGCGCTGTGCCCGAATACAATAGTAGGCATGTTGGTGTTGTCTCCCCAATATAGATTCCTCTAGTAAAAAAGCTCGTGTTGGCGCTTGGTGAGAGGGCGCAGTCGGACTTTGCACGGTCGGGGAGGGTCTGCTCTATGTATGCATAGGATACAGCATAGGCGCCGGATGTTCATTAAGGAAGGAGAAGAAACGACGAGGAGAAGAGAGAAAAGAGCAAGGCTAGCAGTGACTAGAAACGATCAGCGGATCTCGCTCGAAATCAGAGGATGTCGTGGAACCGGCTCACCATGTTGAAGTCAGACAGAGTATAGTCAGGTGCATAAACATGCACGACCTTACCACCACCACCACGGCACTGCAGAGAGAGAGAGGACCGAAGTACGAGCAAGGAGAGCTCGGGTCGACAGGCGGGAAACGCAAAGGAGGAAGCGAGGAGGACCAATTTGGGCTTTTTTGAAATTCTTGCCAAAAGCAGGGCGGTTGTGAAGGTTGGTGTACGTGGTGAGCAAAGCAGGGTCACTTGAATAATAGCCGTCGGCCAACTTGTGGGACTCCCGGACTAGGAAGGCCGCCGCCTGTTCTGTCTTGACCCTTTGGACTTGACTGGCATTTGACTGGCCAAGAGCCAACAGCTTCAAAGCCCCGCTCCGTCTCCGTCTCACCACCTTACATAAGAGGTACATGGGTACCTAGGTACTTATGTATAAATGCAGCAGCATGTGGGCAAAGATGCTGCATAAGGGACTTTCCAAGGTGCCGACTAACACCTTAGTAGCTTTCATAGCTCACAATTGAAATTCTTATTTTTTCCCCCGCCTAAGCGAGTATAAACCTCGATGGATTTGTGCTGTGTACGAAAAATTTCAACAGCCCATAGTGACTTACTCTATGTGCTGACCTAGAGGGCGCGCTAAGTTTGGATATCAAACAGAGAGATTCAAATATAGATTGGATTTGTGCTGGTAACTGAGCACAGGCCCTCTATGTAGGGTAGGTACCTAAACTGATGTTTGCATCTTCGCAAAAGAATCAGCCTCACTTTCAGCGTCAAACCACCAATGACATGGCTTGTACCTCTAACTCCTTACCTACTTTAACCAACACAAGGACACTTGACCCTATTCTTAGCCGCCTGGCCACGGTTGAAGGAAAGCTTTTTGCTTTTAGCTGTCTCGTCAATAAATACCAGCTCACGAGATGGAAGGCGATGCACATGTGAGTGCGTAGTGAGTGTACCTACAGTATGCAGTAGGTATACTCCATATCACCATACCCTCTGCAACCTGAATGCCCCTCTCAGTGCATCATATGCTTTTGTTGCAATTTCATCCTAGAGCCAATGTAAGTAGTAGATCCATACCTCTTAAACAGGTACCTAGGTCTCATAGATTGCCCCGCCCCCACCAATGACTTAACTCCGACCTCAGCCTCAAGGGCTGTTGCCCCTCCATCCAGCCTGCTTAGATACCTACCTATTCATCATACGACTTTGAGTGGTGTCAACACAAGATCTTGACGTTATCATTTCCCCAGGCCGGTGTAAAGGGGTTAGCCGTGGCAGAAGGTTGATCCTATATTAGGGACATCGCTTGAGTAGTTGGATGATCGGTTGATGAGTGCCATCTCCGCCTAAGGTTCGGGAGTATTAGCCAAACCTCGATATCAGTTTGATATCCATCCCTTCGCCCCTACAAACCCCAACAATCAAACCCAATGGCGAATTCTCCCAACAGCGTGCCCAGCGGGGCGCTCATTTCCCTCGGCTGTGAAGGAAGCGCCAACAAGCTAGGTATCGGTATAATAGCGCACGACCCGACAACGGGCAAATCGGCCATTCTCGCCAACATCCGCCATACCTTCAACTCGCCTCCAGGGACAGGCTTCCTGCCCAAAGACACAGCAAAGCACCACCGCTCGTTCTTCGTGCAAATCGCGCGATCAGCCCTGCGCGCTGCGGGCGTCTCGCCGGCCCAGCTATCCTGTATCTGTTACACGAAGGGCCCCGGCATGGGGGCGCCGCTACAGAGCGTCGCGATCGCAGCGCGCACCCTGTCTCTACTCTGGGGCAAGCCCCTGGTAGGCGTGAACCACTGCGTTGGCCACATCGAGATGGGTCGTACAATAACAGGCGCGTCCAATCCCGTGGTGCTCTATGTGTCGGGCGGCAACACGCAGGTGATCGCGTACGCGGAACAACGGTATCGCATCTTTGGCGAGACGCTCGATATTGCCGTGGGGAACTGTCTCGATCGCTTTGCGCGCACGTTGGCCATCAGCAACGATCCCGCCCCAGGCCACAACATCGAGCAGCTGGCGAAGAAGGCTTCTGGGAACATCCTCCTCGACCTCCCTTACGCAGTCAAGGGCATGGACTGCAGTTTTAGTGGGATATTAGCAGCGGCCGATATCCTGGCAGCGCAGATGCAAGAGCAGGATGCGAGGGAGGCGCGCGGCGAACCAGCCGTCAACGAAGCTGCTGGCGAGATCAGAATCACCCCGGCGGAGCTATGTTATACTCTCCAAGAGACCGTATTCGCGATGCTCGTCGAGATCACCGAACGCGCCATGGCGCACGTGGGTAGCGCGCAAGTTCTTATCGTCGGCGGTGTTGGCTGTAACGAGCGCCTGCAGGCTATGATGGGCTGTATGGCTGCTGAGCGCGGCGGCTCTGTGTACGCGACTGATGAGCGCTTCTGCATTGACAACGGCATCATGATAGCGCATGCCGGACTCCTCGCCTTCGAGACCGGTTTTCAGACGCCGCTTGCCGAAAGCACCTGTACCCAGCGCTTCCGGACCGACGAAGTCCACGTAAAATGGCGTGATTAAGGCCAGCAGTATCCTGGACCCAAGTACCTAGAAAACTCTAGACGAGAGAAACAGTAAAGTGTGTATCGAGAATTTTTAGAGAGGCAGTCACTGCCCGAGCTCATACTCATTTGATCTTACACCTCCCCGCTAGTCCGTGGGGGATTATACGGTCGGGTTCTAGAGCAAGCAGAGGCCCAAAAGAGAAAGCAGGCTGCCATCAACTCCGTGCATTGGCACACAGCATGACGCGCTGCAGTGATGTCAAAAGGCGCACCGTCCCCATCAGGCTGCATCAAGGATACCAATCATGCGTGTCCAGTCACATGCAATGTTGGTATATGCTCCGCTGTCTCTACAATAGCCGGCTGTGAAAGATAGACGGATGTTTCATATTTAAGCTGAGCGGTATGCGTACATAGAAGTATACATGCATATATCTGTAGATCGAAGGGGCGGGTTTTAAGTCATTTAGAACTAAACAAGCATAATATGACGACACCCCGTCACAGCAAGATTTGAAGGATAATCAGCGAGTAACGCAGATAAGTCATCGATGCCTTACAAGGAAAATAGAAGGGTATTTGGCAGCTCAGATTTTGATTACCCTAGCCATCTTATGAAGAGGTGGTCATGTTGTCTCTTTATATAACTTTGAACCTGAGCTATCCTACGTCGGCGAAGTGATTATGACAAAAATCGTTGAGTGTCTCCTAAGCTCGCATGATTGACCCCCATAAACGCCTCCTAGATTTTCGTAACGCCGATGCCTTGTTAACTGCTCCTTTGCTGGTCCAAGGGAATATTGGGTTTCCAAAACGAAACAAGTAATTTGAGACATTCAATTTGTCGAGATTTGATTTATGGGATTGTGGCACAACAACACAGGGAAATGTCCTGTTGTATAGCTTTCTGGAGAAGTTTGAATAGTCTAATTCGAGACCACTTTCCACATGAAGTCAAGAAAGCATATCAATCTCTATGTTGGAAACTGGATGTGGAAGTCGGCCGCTAACGCAAAGCGGTTGTAAAGTACAGAGCATTTCATCGAGATAAGTTATAATTTAGTCGAAACTTCTAATTTTTGGTAGGTTTGTAGATGATAGTCGTCACGTACTAGCAATTATCAGTTTCATAGTCTCTATAAGCATAAGCAAAAAAAAAACTGCTTACCTTATCTTTGTATCGAGTTGTAGCCGATAAAGCCAGTACATTGTTCCTGATACTGCAAGTAGCCAGATGATTGAGAACGGTGTGATTCGGCATATTAAGAACGCTATTATCATCTTTGATCAAGGTAGTATTATTCATAATCGGCTTGCTAAGAAAGCCAGGTAAAGTTGGTGGACCGGGAAGTTTCTCCATAGCGGCAGCAGAGGCTCTGTACGCTTTGGACTCTTCAGGCTGATCGAAGTCTTCCAAGTACTGAGGAAGCTTGCCAGAAAACTGATCAGCTGGAACGATATGCCGCGTCTTAGGTTTGCCCTTTTCCGCGCCCGGAAGGGGGGTAGCAGAAGGCTGTCTAGATGGCAGGTTATGAGCGTCTTCATCCTTGAAAACGCCTTTCCCGATATTTAGCTCTCTAACAGCTGGTGTATCTCCACTAACTTCGATATAATTAACCAAATTGTTACCAAAGTCTACAGTAGTAGGCAGATCTGGTGATGTTTGCATAGTTCCATCAACAAGAAACTTGATATGATGAGTTCCAGGAAACACCCGGATAGTAGTTTCGAGAACACCTTCTTCTTGGCTATATGTAGCGAGTTAACTCTGTTAGCGGCCATGTCTAATGAAGTTTTTTGTCTTTGCCTCCCGGATATACTCTCAGCAGAACCAGCTTGGCCATGCTCTGTTTAGAGATTTCCGTAATAGAGAGTGACTGGTAGTAGGTGTTACTCACGCAGGAACCAAGCGCTGTTTCCGACTCCATTGGAAAGGTGTTCCTGTCACGTAGACTTTTTGACCGCCCCGTAGCCACGTTATGCGGGTGGGAAGCGTCGGTCGAGACTTATCCACACGCAGTTCCTCGGCATCATCTTCATCTGTTACATTGCTTAACCCGGAGGTACGGCGGGGTATGCCGGCCTGTTCGTCGAGCGGAGCAACATCGTCGACATCATGGTTATTGATGTCTTCCGGAGACGCTATAGGCGACCCAGGCGTATGAATCTCCTCCTCGATGGGAAGAGGCAGGCGGGGAGGACGAGGCATTGGATAAGCCATGTCTTGTATGCTACTAGAGGTGGTGCCAGTAGGGAGACCCTCCTCCAGATGTGAACCTGGAGCAAACGGGCTGGTGTCAATATGAGACTGAGGAACAGCTACAGGCTTGGAGGGTGCGAGCTCCTCCTGCTTGACGTCGCTGGCATATCTTGGCTTCTCTTCCTGCGTCCGTGGGTCCGCAACGGGCTTGTCAGACTGTGAAGACGTGGGAGAAGCTTGATTCAGGAGCGATAGGGGCTTCAGCTGTGAGGACCGGTTGGGGATGGTGGACCCCTGGGCCTGGACGACCGAGGCCTCGAGAGAAGCTGGCGACCGGATCTGGTGCGGGTGATGTATCGAGACGAGGTTCTTGTGCTCCTTCTTGGAGGCACGTGGAGAGTCAGCACTGGCATTGGAAGACGCCGAGGGCGTTGGGGTAGCTGGCTTCGACGTGGACGATGGGGTATTGCCCATGGTTGGCACGGGATGGGCGTTGTGGGGGTGTGCGACGAGCGGGCGCCGTGAGGGCGTGAGGGCAGTCAGTCGGGACGCTTGGGCGATGGGTGACGGGGAGATTAGATTGTCGATTGGTCCCGTGGACAAGTGTACAAGCAAGCGGTACAGCGGTACAGCAGCAGCACGAAGCACAGCGCGCGGGCGGTGAGCGCGGATTGCGACTTGGTCCTCTGCTTGGTTAGGCGGGCGGCGGGAGGCAGTGAGTCAAGAGATGCCTGTTGGGAGTGAAACGGGTAAGCGTCGGACAGGCAGGCGGTCGATGTGCAACGTGGAAGACAGGATCATCGCATGAGGTTAAGGTCATAAGACCCTTTTGCCGGGAAGCTGGGGCTCACGAAGGGCTCCGGCGGTGGCCTGGCTCGCCTGGTACTGGCCTGGGACGGGTCCACTGCCCCTCGACTGCCTGTACCAAGGTACAGTCGAGCTTATCCCGGTGGGCTGCTGTAGGCTCTGGTGGGCTCTTGTGGGCGCTTGTGGGGAAGCGGCCAATCACAGCAGCGAGCTCTGCTCTCACCGGTACGATAGCCGACGTCTCACCCCGCATTTGATGTTCAACTGGAGATCTTGGGTCATTTCACAACAATGGCACGAGGTGGCAGGTAGTATCCTTTAACTAATGTTTGCTACTCTTACGATTTACGTATATTGTCTTTCTCTCTCAAATTAATTTGCGTACAGGGGCCTTCCCAGACAGGAAAAGCAAGTCTCCGTGCTGTTACTCCTCAGTCTTATGCAAGTACCTACATACCTCATAGTAAGTTCTCTGTAGATGTCTGCCTCCTGGGTAGGAGTACCTATTTGTGTCCACAACAGTACTAGCAAGCCTGGTCAAATAAACAGGGTACCGTATTATCCTGGGCTTAGCACTACAACTTGGGGGTAGGTAGCTAGCTAAGTATATTCCTATGTACGTATTTTGAATAGTAGGTAATCAAGTTGTACCTTAGGTAACGCACCGTCCCGTGGAGATATCCCTACCTACATATGGACATAATGTATGTACCTAGATACCTCTATTTATATAAGTACCCTCGGTACGTACCTACTCAATTGAGGTAGGTTATACCCCGCCGGAGCGGATTAATAGATCGGATGGACAGATGGCTTACGTAAATCGATCTGACATGCTGTGGAATGCATGGTCTAGATTTGTACTGTAGATGGAATGGGCAGAAAAGGGGGCCCACAGAGGTGCTCATGAAGGCTGGCCAAGGGCCTGGCGAGAGGTTTGTCGTCATTACTTGTCACGCGTACTTCACGGTAATGACACCCACTCGACCACCGGCTCATCGGTTGCCTGACGTTGCATTCCTAATCCCGGAACTAATGTAGTGCATCAACAATTCTTAGCTCCAGCAAGCAGCCGTACCTCAGCCTCATCTGAGGTTAAGCGACAACTTCCAACTGAGCTTAAGTCATTGAACCAGCTTCTTCGAAGGGTGTCAACAACACCGTCAAGGGAGAGTGTATTGTATGATACGCTTATAGTTATGCGGGGAGGTTCAGTCACCTAGAAAAGAATGAGCTGGCTAGAGACACTGAAGACAGTCGGCGCACTGGCACTGTCAGCAATCCAATTCTTCGCACATCTACTGTACATGCTCTCAATACCGCTGCGGTGGCCCCTCTACTACGTCTACGCCTCGATTGTCTTCTTGTTGTCACCGATATGGGTCATTGCTAGTCTCGGGCTCCGTACCGCATCTTTCGCTATCAATCTTGTGGCAAGACTTAAGGTATGTTTTGATTCCATCCTATTCATACGCTATTGTGTATGCCAAACCCTGAAAGATGTATCGGCAGACTTACATCACCTGGCTGCATTTAAACTTCGAGAACTCTATTCAATACAACGGGCTTTACTTTAATGATCACCCAGACTAACCAATGTTTCATCACGCTCACAGTACCTCTACGTCTACGTAAGCTGATTCTTCTGCTGGCTGTTAATGTCTAATGCTCGAAAATGTCCCCAAAAAAACTAACACCTATGTAATATCAAAGCTCGCTTGTGCTGTTTTTATAGGAGCTTGCGTCGGCTTTCTACTATATGGGGCATCGAATTTCATGTTTGTACTGCTAGGCTGGGATGCCGCGTCTGAACGGCAATCTTTTCTAGTTAGGGAACAAGTGAAGGAGAATGAGTATGATAATGAATCAAGTTCAAGCGTTGAGCGGCAGCGTTCTGACAAAGGAGGAGGCCTCGTTGATATAAACCCGAATGACCTGTTTGAGAAACAGTGGAAGTTGGTGAGAACGCCTGTGCAACCCAGGAGACGACGCAAAGGTTTATTGGGACAGACTATAATGGAGGAGAGCAGCGAAAGCGAATTATCGTAAGCTTAATATAATTTTAAGGTTGATAATATGTACTTTACTATTGTCCCTAGCAAGATACCAACTAGATTGTTCACCGCAAGTTTATATTTCTTGTCCTTTCCCAAGGGCTTACATAACGGAAATTGAGACAGACTATAGCCGCCGGATCATAATGTGACTCTTGACTCGCAACTCTGAGGGCCAATTGAAGAAAGGAAGAAAAAAGAGAAAAAGTGCGCGGTATCAAGATTACACTCGTACCCCACCTTGTTCGTAAAGAGGATTATCATGCATCAAAGTTGATAACCTTTGTGCCTAGCACGACAGATGGTGAGCATCCATGGTGGCAACACCATACAATCTAAAGATGGGGGATCGAATGGTAATAGATTTCTTCACCAAAGCAAGCATGAGTGCTATCGATGCTATAACCTCCATATTTGCAATTGCAATCCTTTAGTGATCGGCTACAGCTTTATTTTCGGCGGGCTCCGCTTCGATCCGCCTCAATATTGTAGTAGCCCTGCCATCGCCCTCCTGATGATATAGGCTCTCTCATTCAGAATCTCTTGGCGATGGGCTGCGACCTAATGTTCGACTGGTGCTGCTTCGATCATCATAATCCCTATCACCATCGTCCCTCCTTCGACAATCATCCTTTGAAGGTCGTTCATCGCCCTATCGACGGTACACCTCCCTCTCACGTTCACGATCTCTTGGCGACCGACTACGGCTACGTGTTCGACTGGCTCTGCTTCGATCCTCGTAATCCCTATCCCGGCGGTCCCAGTCATGTCGTCTATCATCTCGATCATCCCTCCTTCGTCGGTCATCTCTTGGAGGCCGCTCATCTCTCGCACCACGGTAACTGGGGATATAAGTGTCAACGTCTGGTCGATTGCCGCCGCCACGATTCCTCGGCGCTCGGTCTCTATTATAAGCGTCATGCTGATCCTTCACTCCATCCCATCCATTCGGAGGATTTTCGGGGGGCGGTGGACGAGGTGGCAACCGGTGTTCATGGCGGGGCTGTTCCCTTGCCCAAGCCGGCCGGCGGCCACCATCACCGCCATTTCTGTGTCCGCCATGTCTCCCATTCGCTCTGTTGCCGTATCCATCTCCGGTGGCGAAACCGACGTTAGGCCCATCAAAAGCACCCCCAACTGTGCCTCCTTTGGGAGCTGGAGGAAGTGCCGCCTTCCGGTCATGGAACTTTCTACGATCTAATTCATGACTGTCTTCGAAAGTTGGAATGTCCTCAGGTCGCGCTGGAAGAGGGTCGGATTTAAAATAAGGATGCTCCAAAGCGTCAATCGCATTGATACGAGTCCGCCAATTGAGTTGTAACAGCTGCTTCAACAAGGATACGGCGGCAGCACCATGGGAACGGAATTTTGATGACAATGACTCCGGTCTCGGTCGTGGGGTTAGTGATTCCGCGCCAGGCAACTGTTTCCACCCAGGCATATTCTCTTCATTCGGCGATCCGACGAGATCAAATATAATCTCAAGTTGATGTCCATCACTTTCGCCAGCCAGAATTGGTTTGCCGACTAACATCTCCCCAAAGACACACCTGATCAGGCATGAGCTAATGTTCAACTGGACAAAAGGGCCAAAACTTACCCTACACCCCACATGTCAATTGCAGTGGTATATCTCTTGAGATGGAGCAGCAGCTCGGGGGGGCGGTACCACCTTGTGACTACCAAGCTCGTGTATTCTCTCTTGCTCTCTCCACCCCCTTGCCCAGCCTGAGGCACGCTTCCATCATAATTTCTTGCGAGACCAAAATCGGCTATTTGAAGTATACCCTTGTTGCTGATCAGAAGATTGGCGGCCTTCATATCGCGATGGAGAATTTTGCTTTGGTGAATGTACCGGAGGCCTTGAAGAAGCTGAAGCATGTAGCATTTGATTTGTGGTATGGTAAAATTTACAGCAGGGTTGTCAAGAAGGCCAGACAGGTCATGGTCCATATATGGAGTTGCCATGTAAATGATTGGTCGTTTTCGTTTGTCAACTCAAAAGAGGTTAGCATACATGCCAAAAGACCAATATGCATTCAAGGTTTAGACGTACTCATCTTAGAATGGTGCTCGACGGCCATATCTTCCAGGCGTAGCACATTCTCATGTTTCAAGAGTTTTAGAAGTCTAATCTCGCGAAGAGCGGTGATGGGAAACTACGAAACAGGTCAGCGACTAACGAAGTGGCGACATGCCAAACAGCTAGCCACATACCCCGTCTTTCTCGTTGTGCATAATAATCTTTTTTAACGCCACTAAGGCGCCGGACTTGCGTGATCTTGCCTTGTAAACCTCACTAGGCGTGGAGTTTAGCAACCAGGGAGAACAAAAAAGGCCAAATGATCTCACCCAAAGGTTCCTTCACCTAGCTTCCCCAAGAGCTCGTAGTCGTCAATGCGAGAGCATCCCTTGAAGCTTTCTCGAGGTCGTTGGTGCTGCTGGGCGAACGAACGAGGTGAAAGCGCTCCATTCTCGCCGCTATACATCGTGGTCGTCATGGTCGGTCGTTGACAAGTTGAGCAGCGGAAAAGGATGGAAAGGAGAGTAGCTTATGCGAGGTATCGGCGCGCCTGGTGAATATAGACCGTGGCGGCGGCAAGAGAGCACAGTCGGTTATATCGCCGATATCGAGCGCTTCGGCGTTCGCATCGCAAGACGCGGTAGGATCGAAGTATCACGCGTAGTAATTTTAAGCTGAAGCAAGGCAATACTCTAATATGGATAAAATCATTGCTTGCGCGAGGTGGATAAGCTGCAAACAGACGAGCCTAAATGAACTCAGCGATAAATCTCGTAGACGACGACTGAAGTTGCTATTGGATATGGCAACCTGTACCCAGGTACGTAGAAGAGGCGTGGCAATGTGTGGAAACAAAGAACTTTGGAAGTGGGGATGGTGATTGCTGGACTACCTAGATCGATGCATGGAGCTACTGCAGTGTTACAGTACAATCATTTACTTAGGGAGCCCAGAGTCTGGGGCTAGCAGAGGCTAGGTAGGTACTGGAGAGCACTACGCTTTACAACACTCTAATGCGCCACATATTACCTAGATAGGTAAGCTGAATACTTAGTAATACGTACCTACTAAGTTGGAACTCAATTCGGCAAAATCTCGGCTTTTGCACTGGTCGAGGGGATGGTACAGTTGAGTGGTACCTCCGTGAGCTCCATCAATCCGGTATCAGGTCATCTATTCGACGACAATCTTTGTCTATCAACAACCGCAATTCACCAGCATCGCCCATTACGATAATCAACACCAATCTGTCCGTACAATTTCCCACTCGACGCACGACCCTCGATCGAACACTGACTGACCGCGATTCAGCTTGTCGCAATGGCTGGTGGTGGTCCTGGTCACATCAAGGCGCCTGGCATCTACAAGTTCACGGGCACTGCTCTAGGCGCTACTATGTGGTTCTTCGTAAGTATCGACTAGATTGAAGACGGCGGATACAGTGACTAATTATTCTTTGTAGCTGATGTATCGGGCGAGGAAAGACGGTATTCAAACTCCAGCTGAAATATGAACGAACGAGCGAATTAACATGTCAGCTAGGGCCTGTTCTGATGGGCTGGAAGCACCCATGGGACCACTAGACGCAGACTTCACCGCCGAACGACTAATTATGCGACTGGGTTGGGAGCTTTATAGGTGATGATGGGGGCATGGAGGGACTCCGGAAAGAACTTCATACTCGACAACGATTGGGGTTTTTTGTTCTAGTGAATACCGTCAATTTGAGACAATTGCTACAATTAGGCTTTAAGCCTATACTAAAAACGCTCATTGATCTCTACCCTTCAAGGGTAGGACAGCGAGCATTGTCAAGCAGTTCACAGAACATATTCCCTTTTACTGTACCACATGCCATTGCTATATATGGAACCTATAACATTCAGTCGAAAGCATTTCTTACTCAATATTTTGCTGTGAATTCGCATCCTTTATTTCACTCACGCGAAATCGTTTAGAGGCATTCATAGATCAGACTAAGAGGCTCTGATAACCTACAGGCTCTGTGCTGGAAACTGCTCTTGTCACATTGATGCTGTAATTGGACATTTAACCATTACAAGACTGGGCCACGAGTCTCCCCATAACCGTGCCACGCCCCACTGTTTTTCGGATTGCAGATTGCACACCTACTAAAGTAGGTGCTAGCCACCAAAATAACCAATCAGCAAAATAACCACTTTTTTAACCTTCATAGCTAAAATTTATATAAAAAGCGCCTATTTCTATTGTTAAAAATAACTAATGCTAATAATAGCCTATTAATATACCTCCAATTGTATATTATTTTAACTATTTTTAAAGGTATATTAAGTAGCTTTTCTATAGCGTTTTTCTATAGCCTCAATAAGCCTTTAAGCCTTCTTAAGGTTGTTTTTAATTAATTGTTCAATTATATAGCAACCTTTAATTACAATTAAAACTCCGCCTAACTTTAAAGGGGTATTCTTAGTTACGGTGGCTGGCCTGGTGACCCACCTGGGGCTTGGGGCCCAGATGGCCACACTGCCATGCGTATCGTAATCACCATATGACCATCGCTTCGCTGTGCGCACTAAAATACTTTGCTATACTTTTTATATTTAAAATATTTCCTCTATTTTCCATCTTATAATAAATATATAAATAGTACCCTAATATAAGCTTTGCTTTATATATAACACTTTAATTATAATAATTATAAAATTAACTTAATAGTTAAAAAGCTTTATATTTATATTAATTAAATAACCTTTATTAACCTTATTAACATTTAATAAAAAGACTTATTAATTAAACTCTCTCCTAAACCTTATAAGTAATTTATATTAAAATAAATAATCACTTTTTAAAATAAAAACTAATATAATATAACCCATTTAAATAAAGGTATAAACTAATCTTAAAATAAACTTACTTTATTAATTATATTTAGCTTATTTACCCTAAGCAGGTTCCCGAAGGATAGGCCTATTATATTTAAACTAATTATACCTACTCTTAATGGTAAAAAAAAAACTATAAGGTTTAACCTTAAAAATATAATAATGCTATATATATATTATAAATAATTCCTTAAAATTAAATTAGGTTATTACTTCTTTAAAGCTTTAATTATTAACCTATTTAAGGATTCCTATATTAATAGCCATTTTAAATTTAAAAATAATAACTTTTTAAATATTTAAAAAAAGCCTACCCTTATTTATTAATAAAAATTTTAAACTATTATAAAAAGGAATATATTAACTTTAAAATATATAGTTAATATAAATAATATTTATTATAAAATAAATATATATACTTTATAAATAATAATTAAATATATATAATTAAAAGAAAAAGATATTATTAATTATTACTTTAAAGTAATTATTCCTATTAAAAGAATTACATTTTTTATATTTAATAAAATAATAAATTAAAAAATATTTAATAATATATATAAAATTAACTATAAAGCCCTATTTTAAAAAATTATATTATAGTTTTATATTATAAAAGTATAAAACCTTATTATTTAAAACCTTTATTATTAAACATTTATTAAAAGCTTTAACTTTAAAGTTATAAAAACTTAAATTAAAAATATTTATTAAAAAAAAGAATAATAATTAAATAAATTAAAAATAATGCTTAACATTATATAATAAAAAATTAAAAATAAAAAAGTAAAGGTAAATAAAGCAAACTAATTAATTATTAACCTTATTATATAAAGCTATAAATAATCCTTAAACTTTAATAGCAATTTTAATAATAGATTTAATAAACTTAATTTAAATAGATTTATTATTAATTCCCTTAATAAAAATGGTTAATTAAAAAAAAAAGTTATTAAAAATTAATATATTTATCTTTTTTAATAACCTTATAATTAATAAGGTTAATTTTACAATTTAATATTATAATTAAATTAACCATTTTAAAAATAATATAAATTAGTTCCTTATTAAATAGTTTAAAATATTTAATATCGAATTTTATTTAAATAAAAAGGTAGTTAAGGACTTTATACCCTATTTTAAAAACGGCTACCTAAAGCAATTAAAGATGCTTAAGGTATTTATAAAATATTTAAAGTAAAAATATAATAACCCTAATAAAAAGTAAAAGGCAAATGTTAAATTTAAAAAATTAAAAATGGAAACCCTTATTAATTTTTAAACCTTTAAAAATTTATTTATTTACTTTATTAAAAAACGTTACTTTATTAAAAGAAATTAAAAGTAGGAATTTTATAATAGGTTAAACTTTTATATTAAAAACCAAGTTATTTAAAAATATTTTAATAAAAAAATTAAATTTAAAGTATTTATTTTTTAATATAAATAATTTATTTATAATATAATTAAAACTAATATAATAAATAAATTATATAAAATAATTAAAAAGAATTAATTTAACTTTAATATTAAGAATAATAATATTAATAACCGTTAATAAAATTAAAGTTAATTTATAAATAATTTTAATAAGCTTAAATTAATAACGAACTTCTTATTAGGATTCCTTAAACTTAACCTACTTTATAATAAGTTAAAAAAGCTAATTAAGTAAAGGTATTACTTTATATATAAAGAAAAGGAATATATTATTAAGGACTACTTTAAAAATGGATAAACGTTAAAGCTGGTTAAAGTTAATACTAAATATAAAGCTTATATCGTAATACTATATACCTACTTTAAAAATAGAAAGGATAATAATAATAATATAACTAAAAGTTTTAAAAGTAATAAATTAGGAAATGCTTAACCTTAAGATTATTAAACTTCCTTTTAAGGATTATATTAAAAATTATTAATATAAAAAACTTTTTAACTTTATATATTAAAGGAAATCTATTTTTTATAAATTATATAATAAATATAAATTAATATAAATTTAATTTATAAATATTTATTAATATAGGAATAAATAAATATTTATTTATAAATTTAATTATTATTAAAAAAATAATATTATTTATTAATGTTAAAGTTATAAAGAATTTTATAAAATAATTAATAGTAAAATATAATATAAAATCCTATTAAAATATAATAAAAGCTTTAATAATAAACTTTTATCTATAAGAATAAACCTTTAAAAAAGTACCTTTAATAATAATTAATATAAAGCATTTAATCCTAATTAAAAAGGTATTCTATTAAATATATAATATATTACTTAATATTTAAAAATAATGTTATATATTTTTATTAAGGTTATTATTTAAAAATAAAGAAAGGGGTAATAAAGATAAAAAAATATAATAGAATTTATAATATATTAATATTCTAAATTTATTTAAAGATTAAAGGTTAATAAAAAGGAAAAAAATAAAAAATGCTTAATGTATTAATATCCTAAATTTATTTAAAAGCTAAAGCTATTACTATTAATAATAGAAAATATATTTAATAAAACCTATATCTACTTATTTAACTTATTAATTAATTTATTAATTAACTTATTACTTCCACCTTTTAAAAAGTAAAAAGTACATTAAAAAAGCCCTTTAATAACTTTTAACCCTTAAATAAAAAACGTAAATAAAATAAACCGCTAACTATTAATAGCCCTTTAAAATAAAAAGCCCTTACGGTATA